TTAACAAACAAATTAACGAACAAGTTTAATGAACAAACCAAATAAAAATTCCAAAACAAATACCAACGAATTCCAAACGGAAAAAAACGCCAAACGCTAATTTCATCCCATGCTCTTTTATACCCTACATTAACAAATATTCGAACCATATATGGACCCCAACTTTTGAAGGTTTCAGTTTGTCAAAAGTATAAACCAAAAACCAGGGCCCCCCCATCCCAATTCTTTTACCAAAATATTAGCATTTATTGTTCATATTCATCGCATATAAATTATTATAAACTCCACCTTTGCCTTCACATTCCGATGAGAAAACACCCCCACAATAACCCATCCGACCAGTCGTAACCCTAGTATATACATAGAAACATATATATATAAATATATACTTTATCCAGGACCACTTTACACGTCGGAGAATTTCCAAGGCAGAACTTTTTAATTAAAGTCAGCATGTCCATTTAAAGCAAAACTCGAAGCAGCAAGAATATTTACCCACATATACCTCCCGTTCATATAATTATGAAAAAACAAATAATTGTAAAAAGTAAATACATTTGCTATAACTCTGTATGTAATAGACTTCGAAGCAGATTCCACATATCATAAAAAAGAGGAACAAGAAGCAAAGTGGCCAAAAGAAAAAAGTAATATATGCACATGCACATGTAAGTATAATAGTGCCCTGTTTTAATCAGGAGAGGAGAAAAGAAAAAAATTCTGAATATATATTTTTCCCGATCATACCAAACATATGAATTATGTATTTAAGTACTGTCACACATATGTATGCGCATCTTTGAAAAGGTACAACGTAGCAGAGGGAAGCAGAAAAGCTCATAAAAAAAGAGCTAACGCACAAAAATGAGGTAATCTACAAAAAAAATCAGGCCACACAGAAAAAATAGCCACGTTTTTTTTTTTTTTTTTTTTTTTCGCGCTACACCACTTTAATATGCATAAGAAGACCATTTTTAAATATTTGGAAGACTTAAACTTCAGCTGCTGCAGACATACCACAAAATAAGTTAAATGGAAATCAGAAACATTGAGGGTGTTTCGTTATACAAGGGTAGTTGTATGTGTATTATCCGAAAGGAGAAGAAACGCATGTTAGGCATGAACAAATGAATCATATGGCAAAGCGCAGGGGGAAGGAAAAAAGACCTGCGTTATTGTTTCTCTCGATAAAAAAAAGCAAAAGTTAAGCAAGGCAAACACAATATTTATATATATTTTTTTTTGTTCTCTCCTTTTTGTTGTTATTGGATATAAAATATGATAAAGTGTAAAAAGGACAAAGTTAAAACATTAACGTAAACAAAAAAAAACCAGTTAATTAATTCCAGCCAAGAAAAAAAAAAAAAAAAAAAACGTTTATGTAGGACATAGAAGAAAGTTGAGTGAATGGGTGCACAAGAATTGTCGCATTTGTGCTGCGTTTCCATCCCTCGCATAACTGATTTGTATTTGCCCCCCAAAGGTTCCCCAACAAATGTGCCCCTTGGCGTGTAGTAGATGGACTGCTAAGTAGACAGCTGAGTGACCTAAAATAGGGCAAGAAAAGGAAGAACCTTAAAGACACCAATAAGTAGCAAAGCCTAAATGAGAAGCAGAAAAAAGGAGCCAATAATAAAAAAACAAAAAAGCGTACGCTAATCCTAAGTGATACGAAGCTAGAGGAACAATTTATTTCTATGGTACCGTCAAAGCGTAAAGAAGAGTACGCGCATAAGATATATATGTATGTGCACGTGTAAGGTGACGCGACAAATGTAAACTGCGAAGAAAGGCATATATAAACGCTGGAAGGAGACAAAACGCATGAACGGTTAATTATCCTTTTACATGCACGTGCTTATGCATTTGCGAGCACGAGTGGACACACTGCTCAATGAGGTAGCCGTGCGCGTACTCTAAGATCAATGTTGAAAAGGATTATAATGCAAAGATAAAAATACATAGAAGAAGAAAGAAAATACGAAAGGGGTACAACAATACCAAGTTAGGCTATTCAAAAATCGCTGTAAAGACTTCCCAAAGGAGAAGAAATTCATGTGTAGTTTGTTTATGTATATCATGCAGTAGAAGTTACACACATGTTAGTAGGTGCGCATGCAAAGAGGTGAGAGCTGTGAAAATTTGTACAAAGGAATAACTGTTGAATTATTGCTGCTGATGTGTTCCCCCACCCATCCCAGTTCCAAGTTATAACATTTTGAGCCCTTACGAGTTTGACGAGCGCGACAACGAATTTGTTCTATGTAAATCAGCCACAAGACCAAGCACACCCTACTTGATGCGAATTCGTTTGTTTGTTTTATTCGCCCATCTGTTTATTTATTCTTCTCCACCATTTTATTAAATTTGCCACCCACACCCCTTTATTTGTTTCTTATGGAGTAAGTATATTATTTGGGGGTACCCTCCTTTATTTGTAGCCATGTGAAACATCTTCCATCGCAGTGCGCGTGCAGAAACGCACTGCCGCAGGAGTGGTCAAATGCAGTTGCATGTCACGAAATGTGCATAGCCCCACGCGTGTACGTATATATATATGTACGTTTCTGCTCACGCCGTCCACGGTATGGGCGCTTTGATTTATCCCTTCACCTATAGCTAGCTGTACGTTTGCGTCTCCCCGCACCCCCCTGCTATTTGAATCCACGCCCACCACATATTTGGCTTACGTTTAGAGCATACAATTACGTACAATCTGTACCGCCAACACCAAGTTCACCTCTCCCCCCCGTGTGCGCACCTACATATATATTTGCTACACCTTAAATATATGCTACAATGATTTATCATTTTCTTTATAATTTTATAAAATATTTATATATATTTAGTGTACAAGTTATAAAATAGGTGTAATACTAATTTTTGAGTTTTGCGTATTTATTATTTATAAAAAAAAAAAAAAAAAAAAAAAAAAAGTACATATGTTTAGTGATTTTATATGTTTATTCATTAATTTGTATCTCTGCATTATTTTGTCATAAAATTTTCCCGTCTTATTTTTTTCCTTTTTTTTTTTTTTTTTTTTATGTATAGGAAGAGGACACAAAACAGGTTGAGGCATTTTCAATCGTTTCATCCTTTCCTAATTATGTGTCCTTACATGGAAGCCTTTTTAATGTTGCACATGAGTAGATATTTGCATGCCGTGTAATTGTGTGCATACATGTCCCTATTCGTATATGTATTTTTTTGCCAGAGCGCAATTCGCAGTTCGCATTCCCGACGTGGAGGGGTACATCCGCTAAGCGCAGGGTTTATTCCCCTTGTAAATGTGCGAAAGCTGTATAACCTGCCCCCCCTCGACGCACATAGACGGATGTCTAATGAGTTGTGTCATGAAGTGTAGTTAACCAATGTGTGTTACCTGTTTGTATTTACATGTACATATATACACACATATCTGGTCATTTTACCAACACGTATTTTGTGCACCCAGTTGTATATGCAACATATGCACTTACGTGTATGATAGTTACAAGCACCTTTGCCCTTCTGCCCCTCTCCATCATCTACCATAAGTATATTCCTGCTTAGGGGCCCATTTGCTTATTCATTGCATCGTGCTTATTCGAGAGAAAAGAAAAACTGCTTCTTCTCTTTTTCCATCTGTTTTCTCGCATTTGTTTATTATACATCTGTGCTACATGAAAAAAAAGTGAATACACTTTTTTTTATTAACACTTTTTGTGCCAAGTGCTGCGGGTACATGTGTTATGCGTAAGCATAGGCATAAGTATTTGTATTTACATATAGGCAAGCGCATTATACACTCCAAGAAAGAGCTAGAAAAACATACAGATACGCACAAGGGAAGCCACCACTTCGGGTCTCACACCACGGAACCATATACCAAAAGCAGAAAGGAGAACAAGCCCGCATTTTTTTTTTTTTAGAGCCCTTTAGAAAATGCCAATCAGTGGTGACTGCGATTTTTTAAACGCACCTGTCCACCCCCCGTGTAATAATATTATCAGCGCCAACAGCCGCAGCCGTGACGGGGAGAGCATTTACAATATCGGCCCGAGAAGCCGAGGCGTGCGCAACTGCGACGAAGAGATTCAGACAGTATACGTGAAGCAATTCGAAATGGAGAGTTATCTAGGCAACATGCATTATAACATGGATTACCTCAACCCCGTTTTAAACCACCCGACGAAAATCGAACATGGGAAGATAAAGATCCTCATTTTGGATGCACCTACCAATGACCTACTCCCATTGTACATAAAAGAAATGAAAAATTACAATGTGACGGACCTAGTGAGGACTTGCGAACGGACTTATAATGACGGGGAAATAACCAGTGCTGGCATAAATGTCCACGAGTTAATATTCCCGGATGGCGATGCCCCCACGGTGGACATTGTAAGTAACTGGTTGAACATTGTAAATAATGTAATAAAAAACAATCGCGCAGTCGCAGTTCACTGTGTTGCAGGATTGGGCAGAGCCCCCGTGTTAGCTTCTATTGTTCTCATCGAATTCGGCATGGATCCGATTGACGCAATTGTTTTTATACGGGACAGGAGGAAGGGTGCCATTAATAAGAGGCAACTACAGTTTCTGAAGGCGTACAAGAAGAAAAAGAAAAAAAAAAACTGCCTTAGTAAATGTCACTTTATGTGAGTAAAACGCGAATTAATGTTATGTGAAAAAAAAAAATGTATTGTTATCCCCCTTTTTTTTTTTTTTTTTTTTTTTTTTTTTGTAACTTAATGTATGTGTAAAAAAAAGGGTTATATGAGGGAGACCCCCTTGTGTGTGCACGTTATAAACTGTGCAGCCGGTACGCGTCTACGTATCCAGGCCGCACAAAAGCACATGTGCGATCTAGGCCGTTTGTGTGGTCCCGCGAACTTTTACCTCCCTGTATGCGCACCGTGTGTGCATGCGCTTCTACTGTTAAAATTTAATTTCATACGAAAAGGTATACACCTTGGTTTTGCGCTTTCTACCAAGTGGTTAGTCTTTTTATCGCGTTAGTTGCCCATGAAGTCGTGAACCGCCTTGGGGAAGTACTTGTACGCGTAGGAAATGATAATGTCGATAAAGTTAATCTCACCGACATCCATAAAAAATCTGTACACTGTGTTTTCCGCATTGAATTCCGTTATGAAGGATTCGCCTAACTTTATGAGGTGCGTGCACATATAGGACTGGAAAAAAGGATCCCCAAATATGTTGGAAATCGTACCAGAAGTTTCATTCATTATTGTTATAATAATTTTTAGCAACTTCTTTTTATATCTGGAGTGAAAATACAACACCAGGGTTTGTATAGATGAAATGGTGAGGTAAGAAATAAAATTCCCAAATAATTTTTTCAAGGTGATATTCTTGGACAAGGCATTATTTAAATTTTTAATCATATTTTCTATGAAGCGAGGATTTCCTGTATACCTCATATGGATGGCGGCAATGACGTAGGAAAGCAGTTTCTCGATTTTGTCTTCATCGATCAAGTTCAGAATATTTTTCAATGCTATGGATAAATTTTGGAACTTAAATAGGCATATGTCAAATAGACTGTGCTTGATTGAATTTGTATTGGTGATGGATGTCCTCAATTCATGGTCCCTCACTATTAGGAACAGCATATCTAAACTCTGCACTACGTTCCTTTTTGCATAATGTGTTATGTACTTGGAGATTAAATTTTTTTTGTAAAAGTATAAAATATTTCGTAAAAAGAAATCGAAACCATGGGCAAAAGCGAAGGAAAAGACTCCTCCTTTTAATTTGGCATACATATTATTCATTCTGCCTCCAAAGAGACTCTGCACGATGCAGCTGTCTGAGTTTTTATTATGTTCATGTTCAGTGAAATTGTATTCTATGACTCTGGCAATTGCTAGGGTGTTTGTAGATTTGGTTATGTCCTCCTCCTCTTCCTCATCATGCTTCGCATTACCGTAGCTTACTCCATCATGTTCCACTTCATCATCACAACTTGCTCCTTTCAGGCCAACTCTGGTACTGCGAACCGAAACGCAATTGTGAGTGCCTACCCTTTTTGCGCTACCCAGTGCGAATGGTCTCCTCTCTATATCCCCCCTATCACCCATGCAAATAGTTGTCCTCCCCTTTTTGCCACAAAATGCATATAGCGCATTATTCCAAGGTGGCCTCTTCCCTTGTGTTCCCCTCTTCTTTGGGTTTACAATTCTCACCTTGGGAGGAGTATCCCTAACATGCCCCTTAAACATGTAAGGAGATTCACGCCTATTTCCTTTGTCCTTAACTTCTGAAACCATGGGGTAATTGTTCAAGCGCATATTAGGGTTATTCCTTTTGTGTACAGTGAGGCATTTTTTCCTACAGCACCGACAGCAGCCACTGCGCTTGTCGCTTCTTTTCAGTGAATTGGTTGTAGTAGTCTCTGTATTGTTCTCTTCAGTATGGAAGTCCATCTTCACCACATTGGGGTGTTTACTATAAAATTTTCTTTTATCTAGGGTTGAAGATGTATTGCTTTTTTGCAAAAAGGCGTAGCGATTAGATTTCCCTGGAAGAATTTTCACCTTTTTAAAGTTCTTCTTCAGACGGGGTCCCTTTTTAAGAGTGGGTTCCTCATCAATACTTATGATCTGCTTAATGGCTGTGTCGACTGCGTAGGACCTGGTGGAAGCCAAGAAGACAAACTCCAGGACAGACTTGATCAAATTAATGACTGTAGATTTTTCATTCATTTGTTTAATAGTCTGCATATTGTAATTAACATCTCTCTGGTTGATAATGTAAAGTAAATTATTCTTCTTGTTGTAGGAGAAGAAATACTGTTTGGCATTTCTGATAAAATTCTTATAAAAGGAGGAATGTTTACTGAGGCTAAAATTCGAAGGGTAGTTATTTAAAATGTAAATATAATTTTCAACCATGACTTGTACAAAAGAGGTGATTTCTTCCAGATCCTTGGCTGTATATATTTGTTTTTTTTTATTATTTAAAATTATCATTAGTTCGTCTATTTGCCCTTCACTAAATGTGAAGAGAACCTGATCAGGTTTCTGTCTCTTTATATATCGGTATTGTATAGCCTTGTTGTAAATAAATTTTGCAATTTCTTCATGGTCTTTATTTAAACTGACTCTTTTTTCAGGATCCAGATTGATACTTTTGTATGTTTGGGTTCTGTACATGTAGACAGACTTATTATTGTCAATGATTCTATTTATACTGGACTCTAGATTCACGTACTGCTTCCTTGTCCTTATAATGTCCGAGAAGGCATAATAAAAGGCGAAGAGCAACAAGTGGTGCACTTTATAAATGTCAAAGTGGAATGGGGGGGAAGTCTTAATAAAGTGGTGATAGAAATTTTTCTTCTTCAGTTCCTCATTCAGAGCCTTCCTGAATGCATCTAGATAGTTATCACTTCTCAGGTAGCTATTCAGATTCATCAATTTGATTCCCTTTATGAAATAGTGCACAAGTTCGTGCTGCACGATTAACCTCTTGACGCTGTCTATTTGTTCCTTCTCCATCCAGGTGAAGTCGTTGATTTCGTACGCGCGGGGGGATGCGCTCATTGATGAGGGGTTAGAATGCGTGGCAACGGAGGAAGCATACGACGCGTTCGAGGTAGAGCTAGGCACCCCGCTTGGAGACGCCGATGGAGGCTCCGTAGAAAATCCAGAAGCACTCCATTCAGTATCTCCCTTCTGGTTATTGGCGTTCATCTCATCACTGTCGACCATAAATGAATGCAAAAAGGTTCTCACCCCAGAGTCGACATCTTCCGTTTTGCTAAAAATATAATTGTATAAACTTTCAAGTGAGTTGGCAAATGATCTAGAATTTCCGGACTGACTTTTATCCATGTGGTCTAAATTGGATGAAGTTACATTATCCATGGTTGATGATCCCCCAGAGGAGGACGACGATCCGTCCCTTCCACTATCCTGTTCATTCCACTTTTTATCGGCATTAATAATTTTCTTGATTTCATCAACCTTAATGTCTAGGAGTTTATAAATTAGGTCTGCATTTTCTGCCACTTCGAGGAGCGACTTTTGAATCTCTGGGTAGTAGCCTAGCATAATTAGCACAAAAAAGGAATATACTTTGGTGTTTTCCTCCCCTTCATTTATATTTTCATTTGGTTTGGCTAACAGTCTATACCCATATGCATCATCACTAAACGGTTTGTGATTAAACATGAGAATGTCCACGGATTCTTTTGGGAAGGAGATGTTCCTAAGGAAGACATGGTCATTGTAAAGTAACTCAATTTCGAGGTACAGGGTGCTCGTCTTATCCAACATGTGTTTCATGAACTTTGAATAATTCTCCTTTTTATATAACAACTTGGTGTATTTATTTCCGACTAAGTTCAATTTCTGTTGAATGCGCAGAGGTTTGAATGGCCTCGTTTCGTACATGAGTTTGTATATCATTACTGTGTAAATATTTTTAAATAGAGCATAGACGTTGTATGCATTTCCGTTATTTATACCGTCCTTTTTGATTTTATAATACTTGTCCATAAATTGTTGAAGCACATTGAGGGTTCTATTAAGGATGGTAATTTTACACTTGGCCTCTTTCTTCTTTTCGTATTCTTTCAACTCATCCCTATCAGCAAATCCAAAGCATCTAATTTCGGAGTAATTATTTCCTGTATAATTATGATTCTTTTTGGAAGAAAAAGTATTATAAAGCATATCGATCCATTCCGTGTTGGGTCTAAATTGTTCGTCTCGTTCTTCCAATTCATTTTCAAAAATGTTGATACAGAAATTTTTGTGATACATATCCAGTTCACTTAAATTCTTTTCATTAAAAATGGACTTTTCACATTCGTACGAAAACATGGATATATTTTCTATTCTTTTTTTACCTATCGCGTCGTCTAACTCTTTTCCAAAGAACAGGATGTTACTGCCGTAAAAACCGACTCTCTTTTCGCACTGCTCTATTTCATTTTCCACTTCCTTGGTGTTTGGCAGTTTGATAGATGTGTCCACCTCGGACGTATCCTCTGTGTTAATTTTTTCTTTGTTCTTCAAATCGTATATGAGGGGACATAGAAACTTAATATTTTTCAGCTTATCCAGATAGAAGCTAGATGAGTGTATGTTCGAATTATCATTGTAGTAATATTTGTAAAAGAACCTGTTAATGTTAGATATCTCCACGGTCAAATCCTCCAGAAAATTTTGCAATATATTTTTTTTCTCGAGAGAAGTCTTTAAGCTTTTGTAAAAATCCAACCCTATCAGACACTCCAATTTTTTTTTAATTATGTAATGCTTGTTGTCTATGTACACGTATTTTTTTCCAAACAATTTATTTTGATGAAACTCAATATTTTTGTACTGCTTGTAGTTGTCCCTCAAATATTCATTGCTCAGGCTACTCATCTTTTTGAGGTTGCTCAAATTATTGCTTTTGATTATGATGACGGATAGGAGGATAAGTCTGTACTTGAGCAGGGCGCAGTTTTTCTCCATTCTCGTTTTTATGAAGTAATTCTCTTCTTCCGTCAGGGGATATATCTTACTGAAGTATGTAGCATAATCGGTGAAGAATTTCTCCTTCCTACTGTTCTTCTTGCTTTGTTCTATATTTGTTTTGGAAATCAAATCGGATGTGAAGTTTGCCACGGTTGTCTCTACATCTGAGTTCTCCTTCGAATGGTACCCACCTTCTTCCTCTTCATCCCGATTTATATCCATTTGTCCCCTCTCGTTTCCTTCCGGTGGTCTAAACACCTTAAGCACATTTTTTATGTCCACATTTGTTTCACATAAAATTTCGCTATTATCATTTTTTAGTATAAGTGGGTTAATTGCGTTCACCGCTACGACGACTTCTACTCGTTGCTTGTTGTGTTCTTTGTACCAAGTGAATTTTATGTACTCCTGGAATGATTGCTCTGACTCGCTTCCATGAGCACTTTTTCCATCACTTCCCTCTTCTCCATTATCTTCATCGTCCCTTTCGCCCCCCTTAACACGCTTATCTGAAGTGAGCTTTCCATCCTGTTCATTTTCCTGGCCTGACTGAGGATCCTTTGTGGGTTCCGCCGCCCGCGTAGCAGTGCTCCTAGACTTGATATAAGACACGTTTTTAATTTCATGCTTAAATCTGAAAATATGCTTCAAAATGAAGTTGAGCTTGGTGTACTTCTTCAGTCTCTGTGCTATCATATCCGTGACGTTACTTTTTTTGATGAAATAATCTAGCTTCTGCAAGGCCTGCACATTTGACACGTACTTGATGTCTACCTCGTAGTAGGTCTTTAAGTTGTAATCCCCGAGCTCCAGAACTAACATGATGTTCTCATTCATACCTTTCATGTTATCTATGGTGACGCTAAAAATGTTGGAGGTCCACTTGATTGAGTGAAAATATTCAAATTCGAGAAGCTGATTTATTATTTTTTTTTCTGTTAAGTATTTCAGCGCATCTTTCATTTTCTGCATATTATCGTTCGTATCGCTTTTTTCTTCTTCCCCCTTTTGTCTACTGTTTATTTTATCTTTGATTTTGTTAATTCCACTTTTAATATTTTTAAAGGTGTCATTGAATTTGTTTGTTAATGCACCAATTTTTTTGCTACTGGGGTTCCTTTTGAGAGATATTTGGTCATCCCTAAACGGGGTCATGAAATCTCTTCCAGTGGTGTCATTTTCTCTACCCTTGGCACTTTTATTGGTGGTGTCCTGTGTTCCTCTTGTTTCACTGCCTGTGAATCCTTCTACATGTGGCGATTGTTCCAAATCGACTCCCTCTGGTTCAATGTCGTTACGTCCTTTATTTATCTCTCCATTTTCGTCACTTCCGATGATGTTGAATGGATATTTGTACATATCATTCATGTTTGTCTTGTCCTTCTCATTGACCCCCTCGTTTTCCTCCACCATTTTGCTTGTATTGTCTGAATCAACGTCGGAAAAGACTTTATTGAGATAATTCGAAAGATCATAAGTTTGATAAAACGGGACCAAGTCAGCATGGTAACATACAAACAAATTTTTGTCTCTACTCTTTGTGCTATTAATAATTAGGAAGCACAATTCGTTGTCCTCCCTAAAAATATTGAAGTCCGCAATTGCGTTTTTATATTTCTGTTTTTTTAGGGTTTGTTTATTATCATGTCCAATATTCACCTTGAAGTGCACCTCGCATTTTTCCGCTTTCACTTTTGTAGTCAATATCAGGTCGTGTGTATACCCATAAGTGCGTATACCCTTATCACTTAGCTTTTTCATGGACACGGTTCGCACATTTTGCGTCCAGTTCTGGCTATACAGTGCGCTGCATATCTTGATTCTATTTTGTCCAACGTTGGAATTACTGTCGAAGGAATGGATAAACATTTTCTCCAAGCAGCTCAACGTTCTGTACCTATTCGATTCAATAAGGTAGTAATTCTTAACCGTGCTAGTGTTTTGGTTTTCCAAGAAGGAAGCTTCGGAGTCATTTTGCGTGTCATTATTGATTAGGTTTGTGAATGATTTCTTTGTCTTATTCTCCTCGTGAATCTTTTTTTTTTTTTGGTGTCCCTCTTTCTTCGCTTCACTTGATCCAGGTTCACCTGTCTTATTATGTTTCCCCTTCTCCGATTTTGCACTTTGAGTCCACTTCGTATTGCTGAAAATGTGTCTAAGCGCACGATTGGAGGGTTTCCCCAAAATGGGCTTATCCCCTGGGGAGAAATTAACTACATGTTTAGTATCACGCTCGTATGTGGATCCATCCCCAGTGTGCATATTCTTTCCGTGACGGTGATTGTCCAAGGGGGAACGAACATGTCCAAACCCGTTTTCCCCCCCGTTGAGAAGCCTTTTATTGTTCCTGTTCAAATGTAAGGTGTTCTTCTGAAGGAAGGACGGGCTGTTCACCTTAGAAGCAACATTTGAAAGGGTCGCTTTAGTAGGTTTATTCAACCCTGAGTGAAAAGCACCATTTGAGGGGTACAACTCTTGGTACTTATTATATAATGTGTTCAGGAGGTTCGCCTCTGAAATTTTTACATTTTTTCCGTTTGAGAAATACTCCTTATGCTTACTGATTGTAGAAATTCTAAGGTCAATCATAAAATCTTCGTTCTGCACAAGAGCTATAACATTTTGGTAAATGGGGATGATGCTCTCTTCATCTCTGAAGGAAATGAACTGGAGCAGACTCATCCTCTGCATCTCGATTTGCGTAATATTCTCAATCAAATCTGATGAGAAAGGTAAAAAGTTGTTTAAAATTTTCGTGACGTAATATTTAATGTGCGTCAAAAATTTCGTTTCAATACTGTCGTACAGGTGCTGAAAAAAATTAACATATGTCCCAAAGTTTAGGAGGAAGAATCTTTTAAAATTTATTAAAATTTCCTTAATTTTCTCTTCATTATTTTTTATAAATTCTACTATAAATGGATACTCCAGAAGGAAGTCTAATATGGCCTTGAAATAAAATTCCTCCACTAAGTTGTGAAGGAGGAAGAATAGGTTGGAGAACATCCTGCGATAGTCTATGCTCTCCAAGATATCTTGGACAAGGCCAGACTCAAGAACGATATGAAAATGTGTAAGCATCGCCGTAACAGTCGTTGTTAATTCGTCTAGGGATATATTAAGTTTTATTAAGATAAGCTTTATAACGTCTAAGCTTCCACGCAAAAGTCCCTCAGTCATAATTACCTTGAAAATATCGTCCTTGGCGTTCCCTATCTTTAGTATGTTGTATATTACGTGGGAGAGCATATTAATTAGGCGTACATTCAGCCTGGAATTTACGAAAAATCGGAGAATCTTAAAAATGGGTGCAGTAGAATAATATTGGAGATACTTTGTCGGAACCAAGGATCTTATCAAAATGTTACTAACCTTTACATGCTTAATGCCCCTCCTCCACATGTCGTAGTTAAATATAGATTCGATGTATTCCTTAGTTATGAGGGAATCTCCAGATATATATACCCCCCTTCTCATTAGCTCATCAAAAAGGATATTTGTAATTCTGTAGCTTTTGTACGTGTTAAATGTATTCTCATCAACTGATTCCACCAACCGATGGAATATAACAATAGCGTTGAACAAATTGTACATGTCTTCCTTCTTCAACAATGAGAGGTAGTTCAAATCCTTTTTGTAATTCTTCAACTTTGAGTAGATATCCTCAAAATGAATATCGTTTCCATTAACGCAAATTTCTGTATTGAAAAATTTCCACACGATGGATATAGCGTACTGTTCTCTGTTTACGAACATGGCGTCCATGTCCTTCTCCTCCATGTTGATAATTCTTACATCAAATAGGAGGTCCTTGTATTCACTATAGGTTAGCTTATCATTGCTGAGCAACTTTATGTCCTTTTCATCAATGTACAACTTTTGTTCTTTGAGTTCCTTCTGCAAAATTTCTTCGGTGAAGTATTTCGCGCCGTGTTTCCAAAATGGGGATTCGTTCAAAATTTTAAAATAAACCAATTCATTCTTCTTAAAATACTCCACCTGAATTTTAGACGCAATAGAATACCACTCTTCGTAGTCTAACTCCTCATCAGATAGTTTCTGTAAAATCTTGCTGTAATTTGAAATTTTAATATTTTTTTCTTCCAACTCTTTGAAGTACTTCTTTGTCAATTCAGTAGCACCCAATTCATTAAAATCATATTTTAAGCAGCAATCATGAATTATCTGCACCTTATTAATCGTTTCTTGCTCCTCGATGAGCTTCTCCGATTTGTAGACTATGTGTTTGATTATGTTGTCCAAATTTATCTCTATATACTTCATTATGTTAGAAATTATTTTGACGTGCTCACATATGATGAGGGATTCAAGACTTTTCAAAAGTTGTACGTAGTTTCTTTTGCGCATATTTTCGATAAAATTGTAGGACATTTCTATCTGTTTGTTCTGGGTGTCTATTTCTACCTTTATCGTTCTGAGGAGGAAATCCAGCAACCGAAGGAATGAGCTGGACTGGTACTTTTTGTGGCTATGCATTTGAAATATATTAGTGTAGAATTTCTTAATTTCGATTCCGAAAATGTTGTAATTGTCTTTCATAATGAAATTTATTATATTGTTGACGGAGTACTTGACGAGAGTGTTTGGCGAGTTGAAGATTTCCTCGAAGGTGAAGTCTACATTCAGCTGCAATTTGGAGTTCAGCACTGATATAAAGTGATCCATCAGCTTTAAAAACTTCACAAAATTTTCGTAGTATATAAAATATTTAAAGTTCAGGATGTCTTCCCTTATGGATACCAGCAAACTATATATGTGCATTTTTTTGTTCAAAAAAAGATTTATCTTCTCTTCAATAATTTCAAAATAGGTTTTGTAATAATTGTCCGAGTTTGTCGTATTTCTGATGGACTCATCAAGTATAACCGCACCCCCCGCTACTCTGGAGTATAACGGAGAGAGAGATCGTTCATTATGTGCAGCATCATTTTCGTTCCTTATCAATGTGTTTGTTATTATGCTTACAATATTCATGTGTATGAAGTAGGTAGGTAGGACGAGGAACATTTCCCCATCTTGTACCAAAATTTGTATGCTAAACTTCATAGCGCTATCATCCTGGTATTTATACAAACGAATGTCTTTGTCATTCATGTAGAGGATACTTATGGAGCTCCTAAAATGGTTTGAAAGGATTGGTATGAGCCAAATCATATTTTGGGTAAAGGGATTTGCCCTAAGGTATTTCTTCACCTTCTCCTCTGCAGATTCATCCTTTTCGAGGAAGCACGGTTTATCATCCGAGCAATTGAACACGGTATAAAAAAAATCGTACGCATTTTTTATCACATAGTTTAAGTAATATTCATTAACGGTGAAGGAATTCGTACTGATATTCAGTTTTTCTGTGCTGTCATTAATGGATTGATCTTCAGTGGTGTCTAACGGATCAATGTTGATGTTCTCCTTTGATAGAATAATTTCGCCAAACTGCTTCTTTTTGTCCTTACTTAAATTTATATCTGTATCCTTGAAAAAATCTTTTCTCTTGTAAAAAAATTTCATGTATACATTCATGATGATGCGAATGATCAAGTTTATAACGTCTGGAAGTTCGTTCACGTACCACAAGTTGAAGAGCTTCCGCAGAGTGATGATGTTGCTGGAGGACACTGAAGAATGCAGACCCAACTTTAGCTCGTTAAACTTTTCTATGTATGAATAACCCAACCCTATGAGTGAAATGAAGTAGTAAGGCTTCATATTATGTGATGGAATGGAAAATTTGTACTGTTCTATCTCTGCTAATATTTGGTCTTTCACCTTTTCGTCAATTTTGAACTCTTCGATTTTGTTCCCCAAACTGTTGTACTTTAATTTTTTTTTTTTTTTTTTAAAAAAATGAGGAATGAAATTTTCAAAATCAAATGGTAGTATATCCTCTTTTTGCCTTTTAAACAATTCTAAAACATTTTCCAGTTCTTGTTTCTCCAGCGTCTTTTTCGATAATATATTATCAAGCTTTTTTATCATATACGCTAGTGCAGAAACGAATATGCGCAGTTTGTTGTAGCTGTCTTCACCACTTGCATCCTTGCGCACCTCCGACAGGGATAATTTGAACCATTCCAGCAGCCCCTTATCGCACAGAAACAGGTCCTCCAATAAGTTATCTAAATCGCTGTACGGGCCAAATCCGAAGAGAGAAAATATCTCCAGGTACAGCAGGTGCAGGTAATTATTCTTAACTCTGTTGCTTCTATGCTTGACGATTTCCTTGTCGATTAAATTTCTCAGAATCATCTTCTTCTTATTTCCCACGTCTTTGCGCTCTATTAGGGCTAGAATCATCTGTTGTATGTTCGTGTAGTTCTTTTCCTTGTTGTACCCAAGGAGGGCCTTGTGTATGTCCTCTTCTGACGTGCTCGGGGTCTCCGTGTACTCACTCTCCAGCGCCTCCAGGTAGTTCTTCATCTTCACCAGCTCTTCGTAGTATATGTGGAACGTGGCTGCGGTGCAGAGGTGTGCAAAAGGCGTAGGCAGTGTAAGAGGCGGAAGCTGTGCGCCAAAGGTAGCAGAAATATAGAATAAAGGTGGCAACAACATATAAAAACGCGAGCGAGCGACGTCCTCATTAACGCCCTCACGGACGCTACCCGCTCGTTCACCTACATGTGTCCCGCAAGTGATGCATTTCGTAGCTGAAGAGAGATCTGCTATTATTGTACACCTTAAAGGTGTGCCCTTCCTTAAAGATGATGATTTTGCTTCCGCCTTCTTTGCGCGCGGGGTTAAACGAGTAGACGTCGTACCCTCCCTTCATGTTGTCCGACATGTAGATGATTCTCTCTTTAAAGTGCTGGCTGAGAATCTCCGTAAGGTGTAGTAGGGCATTCTTGGAGTAGTAAAACATGCAAATCTTCTGATTCATATTCAAGACATTGTTAATTTGAAATATAAGTTTACTCGAAATTTCGTTGTTTTTCACATTCATCAATGAAAACAAGGAATCGAACTTTTCCGTTTTATTAAAAATGTTGTGTAGCTCGTATGCCAGTATGTTTATCATAGCATGTGTTAGAGTGCTGAGGTGTGGGTATCCACTATGCTTTTTAGCGCACATTTTTATGTCCTCTACGTTAAAATTAAATTTCATTTTAATATTTGAGAGGTACGATTTCATGTTCTGAATGCTGTGTTTGTAGAACCACTGATCCCTTATGCAGAGATACATATTAGTGCTTCCCTTTCCATCCTTTAGTGGCTTCTTGATTCCGATTTTTATTTCGTTGTATTTCAGCATGAAGTCGACCAGCTTGTGTATGCGGCTGCTTTCGAAGTAGTACCTCAACAGCCTCTGAAGGTTTACGATGCACAACTTGGCGTAGCTCTCCTCGGGTACTACAATTGGGTAAAGGCGTAAGCATGGTAAGAAGGTAAAAAGTGCTTACAAGTGGACGAATACTTCTGAGGGAAGCGCAATTGGTTGCCCTCCCACAACACCAAGGGAAACGCACACAGATCACACTAGGAACGATTTAAAGATAGTGATTTAGCAAGTCCAAGAGTAGAAGACACGTCCCTTCGTGCTTATACATGTAATGGCCAACGCGTAGGGACTTCCATTGTTCCCTAATTGGTTCGATCCGTTTTCCTTTTTTGCGCCTTACCGTTTCTCCCCCAGAGCTTGCTCCGCTGAACAAAGGACTTATTGATGGACCCTTGTTGAGAAAACTCGAAAATGTAGTTGAACAGCTTATCATTGTATTCCTTCGGAATGTCGAAGGCGTGATACAACAGACTTATTTTCTTCACCCGTTCAATCAATTTAGACATGCTGTTATTTTGCTCGTCCTTATTCTCTTGGGAATACTTCAGGTGAGAACTGGTGTAGTCAGAGTAGGAGTACTCTATCAAGTCGAGGAAAAATATTTGCTCAAAATTTTTTATCTTACCATAGGATATATCTATGGGGAAGTTATAGGTAACTGGTCCCTCAAAAAGAAAAAAGGATTTTTTTTTTTCTAAATTTTTTATAAATTTAGACGACAATTTTTTACTCTCTTCATTAATAAACCTTTTATAATTTATGAATAAGTTTTTCATTTTTTTTAACAGTGTCTCCTTAATGGTGTTTTTGATATCTTCCTCTATGATGTCGTAATAGTAGTTGTCGTAACTTTGAAATATATTTTTCACCACGTTTATGATTTCTTCAATGTGAAGTTTGATCACCTTCTCCTTGTCTATTAGGTCTTCCAGTTGTCCTACTGCCTCTATTTTGTTAAGCACTTTATGAAAAAAGGCCACTATATTTATTATATCCATCAGATCAAGGATAAGTATTTCTGTGTGTACTTCAGGCACACCTTGGCCTATGACGTGGCCTAAGTCCTCCACCTTCATGCGGTAGAAGATTAGGGAGATCGTGTCCAGCACCTCGATGAATTGTGCATTTCCTGGGCAATGGGAAGGACGAAAAAAAGGGGTGAAACGGGGTACGGTACGTGGTAAATACGAACAGGGGTGGAGTAAGTGCTGTAGGTAAATATTTCCTATGGAAGTGAATGCATACAACACCATGTGTGACACTCTCGAACATGCACCAGTTTATGCCAATGGAGGAGAGCCTCTCCTGTTATTACCCCTGTTTAGATCGTTCATAAGAGTAAGAGCACCGGCTATCTTTTCGCTGTATAGTTTATATTTAAACATGATTTCCTCCAACGCATACAGCTGGGACTGCGTCTTGTATGTAGACACAGATTTCTTCAGGATGTGCATCTTGATAATGTTGTACACGAATGAGAAGTGGTACCTTATTTCGTTCTCACTTGATAGACGGGCTACGTCTCGCTGCATTCCCTCCAGGTAGAGGAGAAGCGCCTCGAGGACTGCGGGTGTGAGGGGAAAAAGTGGTGACGCGTGGCCGTCAGGAATGGAATTCATGGATAAGTGTCATTCGACAAAGTAGCCACATGCAGGCGAGTTCGCAAGATGGGGCAAGCAGACAAAAAGGGGGAAATATCGGTATGCTATGAAACATGAAGCAATTTCAATAATTGTTCCACCCTGCTTCCCGTCTCATTTCCGCCTCCCAAGGTGCACTTACGTATCTTTTCGTTATTATAAAAATCACTGAATACATTCTCGTAGGACTGCTTGGAGGAGAAGAAGGTAATATTCTTAAAACTGGTGCTGTTGTTATAGAAGTTGTACACTATGGAGTTGATTTTATTTGTGAAAGAGAGAAAAGCTTGGTCCTTCTTTATACATTTCTTGACTAATTTTATATCATATGACCGTCCACACATGATGGCTGTAATGAGGGCCGGAAAATCGTTAATGTTGTTGGCGTTTTCATTTCTGTAGATGGGGAGAAAGGAGTACTTCTCCGTATCGTTGTTGTCGTTTATATGGTAGTATATGCTTGCGTATTGGATTGATTTTAGAAGAGAGGAGATGCTTTTCTTGGCTAGCCAGAGTTTCGTTTCGTTCTCAAAGTCGGATTCGGTCCAGTGGTTGTGGCTGAAGATGGATTTGTCTGCGCGTTGTGGAGGGAAAGACGGTCGTGAGGAAGTGCTAAGAGGGCGCATGCACTTTTGGACACGAGAAGCAGACAAGTGCACACCCACATGAGAGCACGACAACATGAAAACATGAGAAGCACAGACTTACCAATGCCCTTAACGGCGTAAAAATGGAGGCCAAACCCCGCGTCAATTTGTTGCTTGTTGTCCATGTTGCTGCTCAAAACTTTCGTCCCGCAGTTAGTCCTGGAGACGTAAAAGTACCCGTTGTTCCCGCGGACAATGTACAGGGGGTCCAATTTTAACGAAGACGCATTGTGAACATCGAAAGCCTTATTCATGTTAATATAGTACACATTGCGCCTCAACCGTAAGAGTAGCATATAAATCATGAACACATCTGTGAACCCAAAATAGTTTAACAGATTCAGATGGTTCTCATCTCTATTGGTCATAACTAGCGAATGATATATGCTTGAAAGGAGTCGCAATTCGAAAATTCCAAATATGTCCAGAACTTTCCACAAATAATTTGTGTAGTGGAACCATACCGTGGTGAATACAGAATAAAACTTGGTCTCAATTTTGCTAATGACATTTTGGCTTGTGTTCAAATTGAAGAAGGATAAAATTTTTTTTTTATTTAGAAAAATATTACGCAAGTGGAAAAAGTGGTTATTTAAATCACTCATATTGATATTTAAAATGCTCTGTAGATTATCTATCTCGTAAGAAGACATGATCCTTATGATAGCATTCTTCATTTGAATAGAATCGAAAAAGGTCGATTCGAATATATTCTTCAAGTTTCCCTCATTAAGGAATAATACATTTTTGTTAAAAAAACTATATTTTGTTCGTAGCAAGTCCTTCTTTAGTTCCTTCATACTTTTTAATTTTTCTTTTTCAATGATTTTTTTCTTCTTGCACATAATCCTGAGATACCATGCGCTATTCGTTATTTCTTTATTGTTGCGCTCGTTATTTTCCTCTTCACTTGTGGTGTCATTATTTTTTTCACCTAGCAAATTGGGTATGTTAAGGGTGCAAAATTTGTCCATGTCTTTCCAACTTAAGTCGTTTTTCGAATCATATGCATGTTCCCCTTCTGAGAAGATTCCTAGACTACTGCTCAATCTGCTATTTGGTGACACGTTGGACGTAGAAGGAAAAATACTACTGGTCTTATTTCCAAATCGTTCCTCCTTCAGATCTTTGTGAAGACTATCCATTGATGAGCTCGCCGATGCGTACGCGGTTTGTTCGGATGATATGGTTTTCCTAGAGGAGGAAGACGCGATACTTGAGGGGTACGACGGGGAGGTATCCCCTGCATGGTATTCACCGTCTTTTTTCATACTCCACTTGGATGAGTATTCCCCATCTTTTTCGAGTCCCCAATTGGACCTCGCCTGTGTTGAATTGTCGCTCGCCCCGTCGACCATAGTAGTAATAGACACATCGGACGGCGCATCGCTCGTCAACTGGTTCGACAAATTAGGAAAAGATGTGAACGAACTGTGGCTCGCATTTGATGAAGATACATCTGAAGTGGAACCAGACATGCTGTCAAGGCTGTTACCTTGTGGGATACTCGACAAGGAGGACAAGTCGGGCAAGGATATCCCATTCGATCCTTCATACTCGGAAAACATTTTGTTCATATCGGGTTGGGAGGATGCATCATAAGTGGAAGCATGAGGAGAAGACATCATTTTGAAATTCATTTCGTCTGAGGATAAGGTCGGCTTGGTAGTCCCCTTTAAGTTGCTAACATCCGCATCTGGGCCTTCACCAATGCTAGAGATTGAGTCGTATAGGACCTTCAACTTGGGGCTTTCAAAAAATTGTTTGTAGGATACATTTTCCATCGAACTGCTATATAATTTATCTTCCTCCAATTCTTGCTCATCCGAATTAGACAAATTGAATCCGATATCGTTGTTGTATGTTTTGTTTTTTTTTTCTTCCCCGCTCTGATCCCTATAACCGTTGTCTCCTAATTCCTTGTCGTCCAACTCTACATCCTCACAGTATTCATCGAGGTAGTTAATTATCTCCAGGGCAAATAGGAGGCTTAGGTTGGTCAAATTTCCCCTAATCATATTAAGGAGCAACAGGTAGATGTCATTCTCGGTGATGTTGGCGCGCCCATTGTAGGCGGATATAATATCCCCTACTGATTTGTAGTATTTAATGTTCGTCTTTTCCTTTGTTTTCGAAATTTCATGGATTTCCTCTTTAATGCACTTTGTAATTTCTTCGTTCTCTAGAGACGTCAAGGAGAAAATTTTCACACCTGCAATTGGGTTGAGGTAAAAAACAAAAAAAAAATACGTAACGCATAATGTGGGGAGAAAGCACATATTAAGGATGATAATTGGTACGATCACATATAAGGGAAGCACACCTCTGATGCACAAATGCATTATGCGTAACTTCAACCCAACGACTTACTTTCGTTCATAAGACTGTACTTATTTTCGGAGGAATTTATCGACGAGCCGTCCGCATTTATCGCGGTGACTTCAAAATTGTGGAGGTGCTCCAGGATGGGAAAATCCTCATGCACCAACAGGTAGGTAACATCTTCAAAAACTCTATGCGGTATAAGCGTGTTGGAGTAATATTTGGTAGAAACCAGCTGCATAATTTTATCGGGCAGGGTGTTAATACGGATGGATATAAGAATACCATTTTCGTTTAAAATGGTAACCTTGGAGTTGTGCACCTTGGATATGATGAGAGTTACAAAGGTGTCAAAAAAGTGGTGTATGTTTAAGAAGTAATTTGCCTGATCATTGTGAATTACTTTTTCATGATTGTTGCATATAACATCGTCTAAATATTTGAAAATCACATTTTTGAAGTTCTTCCCTAGTACAGAAAGAACGTGAGAGTTGTAGGACTTAAAATATTGGTGCAGATTCTTTAGACACAACCAGTAAGTCCTCAAAAAGGAATCATTAATCACTTGTTCATTACCACTAAAAAAGGATTTCAGAAGTACGTGAGGCTTGGGAGAATTTAATATAATATCAAAATTTTTAATCACCGACTTGTGATCTACCTTTATTTTGGAGGTATCCATTTGAATCAAACTCAGAATAATTTCGTTAGCCTCAGGATCATCAATTGAGTAGAGGTTAAAAAATTTTCTGAATTTATGAGCCATGTTAATTTTGTTGAAGTAGAGTAAAGTATTTTCATCATTGTCCGATTTTTCTTGTTGTAGAAATTCGTCATACAATTTGTCCACCAAACTTTTTTTAAATTCTGCTTCATTCACTTTTCCTTCATGTGTGATTATGTCACTGTTGGTAAGCAACAAATGCTTCACCTCTTTTATTAAGAGTTCGTTTATTTGTATTAGCGATTTGTCTATGTTAAGGTAGGTCTCGGTGTATAGCTTCTCAACAAAGGTGGAACAGGAGTTGGTAAAGTTCTCATATACATTTTCTTTATATTTTCTGCATTCACTCAACTTGGATACTAGATTTGAAACGCTGCTCTTTGTGTTTATTTCTTGTATTATGTTTATGTTCGCGTTGGACAAATATTTGTGCAAATTTAAAAATCCTCCGTAGGAGTACCTCTGAACTAGCACGTTTCCATGGGGATCTTCTCATGGGTGAGGTGGAGAGGAGAACGGTTAATGTGTTGGTACAGGGTGTAACGTGCTATATGCAACGTGTGTAATGGCGCGCTATACAACTATATCTACATGCGCGCCCCTGTCTCGCGGGACGCCTGTTCAACGTTAGCCGCATGCAGAGCGATATCTCCTCCATTTTGTCCTGTACCTTTAGTGTCCTTGAAGAGCTGCATCCGGGACAAGGACAAGTTGCAAAAAGGGAAAAAAAATAAAAATAATTATCTATTTCTAATGTTATGTGTACCACCACGGCGCTGTGTACTTATGCAATTGAATTTATCATCTGCGTGTCTGGCGCGCCGCCTAGAGCATTACCTTTTTTAAAATCGGATTCCTCAATGCAGCATCATTGCAGTATACATCTGAGCAGCGAAAGGGGTGGGAAAGAATTATGCTTAATGACAATTTCGCACATGTATGTGGTGCTGTAGGTTCCAGGACTGAGCTGTTACATTCCGCCCATACACCCCTCTCCTTTCACACAACACAAACAAAACACATCCTCGATGGGTGGCAAATAAATGTGATTACTTTTGTGCAGAATGCAGTAAAAGAATATCAACTTGAAGATTATTGTTTTGTGATTTATTAGAAACATTTTTAAATATGGTCGATTAATTAAACGCTTCTGTGAGTTAGCTTGGCCAAAAGGAACAAACTGAATGAATACAATTAATTAGGCGGGGAATCGTCCTGGATGCGGTACGAGGGCGGAGAACGAACTGAGGATATCTCCACCCACCAGCCTTATTCCACACTGATTAAGTAGACTGCGCAGGCATCTACAAATGTACAGTTGCAAATAATCACACACGTACATGTACAAACATGTGTCTAAGTGTGGAAAAGTCATAAAAACTAATTATTAAACATAAAATGAGATAAAGAGAAAATTGTTCCATAGTTGTTGGGGATAAAGAAAGAGAAGGAAGAGGAAATAAACGAATCAGTTAGAAAGATGCATTTGTTTATATTCACAAATATCAATAGACCCAACAGTTGATAATAACTACTAATTTGAATAAATACTCCCCTTCATGGAGGCACACCAAAAAGAAACAAAAAAAAAAATTCCAATTTTGGGGAGAGGAAACATTCATCATGACGGTTTGAATTAAACAGAAAAGCACACATAGACAAATGCGCTTAAAATAAAGGAACGTGAACTAAGTTAATTATCGCCCAATTCGCTATGCATGGTTGTCACTGCGGTTGGGTAAAGTTGGGGGTGGCCTGAAAAACGTGAGAAGTGAAGAAAAAGAAAAAATTACGCCAGCGGTTGCATGACGTAAATACTTCTTCGCTAGACAGCACGTGTGACCATTGCAACAAAAAAAAAAAAAATTATTTTTCCTTCTATCACTATCCCAATTTCTCATTGTCCTTAAAAAATTATAGTTGGAGTTCAATGTAACAGTCGACTGGGCCAACGTTCGTAATTAATTCTACGCACGCACAGTAGTCTATTTTGTTTATGGTCAGAAATTATATATATGCACTCCCATGCATATGAGGAAAGATAATGACGTTTTTTCATCCACATTTTTAGAGATAAAAAAAACAAAAAAAAAAAAAAAAATTCAGCATAATATTTTTATGATCATGGAATTCATCTTTTTTCTGATTGTCTCCTTGGCAAATGTGTCAGTTGTTGTTCTTTGCGTCTTTTTTTTTTGTTTTTTTCGCGCATGTCTATATCTGCCTCTAGCATAGTGGATTCATCTCCATATGGTCTTATTCGAAACTTCAGTGAACAAATCAACCTTAAAAAAAAAAAAGAAAGGAAAATTTTACACTGCACTTGCAGGTAAAGCTATTTTGTTATACCTCATCTCGTAAAAGGTGTAAAAATAAGGGGAAAAAAGTTATTAAGGCCGGAAAATGAAACCTTAAGAGAGCAAATTTCTCCATTTCAGCTTAACATGATAGACGCCATTGCAGTTGGCCCGATTATATACATAAGACGCAAACGTCTTATCTGATTAACGACAAATAGAAAACTTTTAAGGTGAACAATTTTGTGCAAAAAAAAAAAAAAAAAAAAAATTAATTCAGGCGAACTTTGCGAGAAGGGAGATTGTACGAGGCGAGATTGACGCAGTGGAACAGACGCTTGGGCGTGAAATGTGCGCGCACGTATTTTTGTACACGTGCCTTTTATTTTCCACTTAACTGCCAACTTTATGCCATTTCTAAGGCCCATTTTTATCGGCCATTTTTCACCCAATTCGCCTTTGTCTAACCATGTACTAACACTTTAACCCTTTGTGAAAATAAAAAAAAGGGGCTGGCAAAATGGAAAATTTTAAGGATCAAAATGCACAGGACATAGACATCTCCTCGTCTATTAATAAAAACCTGGACATCCCTTTATTGATAAAAAAGAAATTACATTTGAGGGTAAACTCACTGCAAAGATGAGCCCCACGCGGAACCGGCATTTCCAGCAGTAACTGCGTGCCTATGTGTTCCCCTGTTCGTAGGATTTAAGGCGAAAAAATAAAGACCTGAGTGTGAAGCACGCAGACATTAAGAAGGTTCTCCAGGAGAAGGAGAGTTACTTCAGGTTCGATTCGGCAAATGTGTGTACGTGCGTGTATGTATGTTCCGTTCTGTCTGTCTGCCTATTTGTATACACGAGGCATAATTTCCCAACGTCGCTTTCTTCCATTTGCAAATCATCCTAAACAGTTTTAAGGAAAAGGTGCACAATGAAAGCCGCGAAAAGTTGATTAAGGAATATCAAATAGCAACGAAGGTGAGAAAAAAGAAAAAAATATACAAACGAATGGGCGCAAATGGGCCGAACTGGCGCGGACAAAAAAGGTACACACGAACTGTCCCCCCATATATACATTCGCCGCGCAGGACAACTACGACAGACAAGTAATTCTGGAGGAGAAAATAAAAAACAAGGAGAATAAAATAAAAATGTACGATTTGGAGATTAGCAAGTTTAAGGTGGCCATTGCAGACATGCACGAGCGGATAAAGAAGGCAGACTACGACATGGTGGAGAGTAAGAAGAGGCTGTTGTGCTTGGCGAAATGAAATATAAAACAGGCACGACACGGATACAAAGGCACACGTGGACGGAATGGAACTAAACGGCATGCAAGTATCCCCCACCTTCCCCCTTGAAGCGTATTCCGTGTCGTGCGCTGATGAGAAGTTAGCCCAACCTGTAACAACAAATGAGTGACACCTTACACACATGTGACAAATGTTCAGGGGAAAAATGCCTCAGCTTTCTGAGCAAATTTAAAGAAAATTCAGCCGAGTTCGTCCAGTTAGACATGTTCGACAGGCTAGAAACGATATTCAGCTCTCGCGAGTTTATAAAAAAGAAAAAGGAAAGTCTTAGGGCAAAGATAAATATCATAAAGGCTAAGATAAAGGACACGGAAGAAAAATATAACATAGCCCTAATGGTATGGCATCGCTATTCTCTTCTTTGTATTTTTCTTTTTTTTTGTTCTTTTTCTCATCCCTGTTGGTTGGCACCTTTGTCTATGCTGCCAATACACCCACGCAGGATAAAGAAAAGGAATACAAAACTCTCGTTGAAACCTCAGAAGGCGTCTTAAAAAGGGAAAAGGAGATAGCGGAACAGCTCAAGGAAAAAATAAATGAACACAATAAAAATGCATTGCTTCTGTATAAGATAATCTCATGTGTCGATAATTTTTTAAGTCGTTTTTCTTCATTCCTACCGGAGTTGCGTCATTACAACGTTAAAAAGGACGAGGAAAAAAAGTACTAAAGAAGAAGCGCCTATTAAAAGTTACCCCCACAGGGGCGTATACCGGACAACACTCTACATGTTACCGCTACTGCATATCACTTCGCTGCTTAGCAATTCACGTGCATGAATTCTGTCCCCCCTTTTTTCCCATCGAAGCAAACTAGAAAAGAAGAACAAACCACAGGATATAATGGAAGACACGCAGTTCATTGATACAGCCGATTTTAAAAATTTGGAGGAGGTAACAATAAGAAACAATTTTTGCTTGTCAGTGTGCTACGTGGGGGACAAGGTCACTTACGTGATCCTCACCGTCTGATAAGCAGAGCCAATTCCTGATTGTATCATTTCGCGCACCTCCCGTTTGCACCTCTTATATGCACCTCTTACCCCCCTCGAATGGTAGGATATTCTGAGAAAACTGGACGTCATCTACAAGTACATTAAGGACACGATCTACATAATCAACAAAGCCAAAAAGGAAATTTCGCTCAAGGATGATAATTATATGGAGTCCATGAAGAACAATTTTGGTAAACGGGGAAAAGAAAAAGCGACCGCCCTGAGGGTTGTGGCACACCTTCGTGAATACTGGGCCGCACATTTTGTGCATACATATCCGTGCGCGTGCACATTTCTTCCAAATGGAAAAAATTCCCCCATTTTTCAGACGACAATATTGAGTTCCTTACATATAATAATATCAAAGGGAAGAATAACTAATCCCCTAGGCGGAGACATGTATTCCGAGGGTATAAAAAGGAGGAGGACGCGTCGATTTTGTGGGCCTCTCGTGAGGGTGGATCTGCGTGTACCCCCAATGATTATTCATTGTGTGCAAAAAGACGAAGACGCCTAGAACATGGGCTGTCCCTTTTTATAGCTGCGCAATTAAAGTGCGCTTATAAATTCCGAATATGAGCTCAAAAGGGAGAATAAACAAGTGCACAGAAAGGTATATGCTGGAAGGACAAATAATGGGAAACCTAACAAAAAGTTCACATGTTTTTTTTTTTTTTTTTGTTTTAACTTGTCATTGTACATTTTTGTGCCCCTACCATTAATAACTCCGTTTATGCGTACCTTCCCATACGATGTATGCTAACCCACCTGATGATACTTCAAATGTTCCGCCCTTTAACAATTCTGCAGTTGTGCAAATATACGAGAAATACGCATCACTATGCGCAACGAGGTGGTAACACATTCTGGTGACTGCGTATATTTTTGATCGCCCCGTTGGGTCCGTACTCAAGAGGATTTGCCACTCAACTTGCACACAAAAAAAAAAAAAAAAAGAGGCAAAATAGTGTGTCACGTTTCCCCTGTATTACCCATTATCGATGAAGCTGCAACTAGCGGGAGTAATCCCATTTCGGTAGGACACGTCGCTCAGAAACTTCAAATAGGTAGTGACCTTTTCCTCGTCAGATAAAAAAAACGGGAGCAAATTATCCTTCACGTTCACGTAATTGGAAACGCTATTTAGGCACCTTAACCCGATGTTCCCCGAATATAGCAACTGAAAGTTAATATTCTTGTGCCACTTTAAGATGCTATACGAACCGATAAAGTATAACTGATCATGGTACACACTGCCAGGGGTGGAGGTGTCCTGTAGTCCTCGTTTAACGCGCGCGCACATCTTAAAACATGTGTCCGCATCCTTAACAAAAGTGTTTAAAAAAAAAAAAAGCTTTGAAAAGGTGTAAAAATTGCCCAAACAAACGGTTAAATATTTTATGGCTGGCAAAACAAGGAATAGGTAATTTCTTCGAAAGGGATACATCGAATTAATCACAGCTAATCCTTCTTCAGTGGTAGAACAGGAACGAAAATTATACATGTCTAAATTGTTCCTATCGTGATTTATCATGCGTAATAAATGTGTCCCTATTTCATGATTGCACAAGGAAAGCATCATTTTTTCCTTAACACTTTTGCGGTTTTGTAAATGTAAAAAATATTGTTTTTTTTTTTTGAAAATTTTCACTGCAGATATTAAGTCCTCTTTGAATTCGACTTTTATTTTATTTGTTATTCCATTCATTGTTAAATATTTATCGATGTAATTTTCCAATTCGTTTTTTGTCATCACTTTGTCTTCATCGAAAAGGCCCTTCTCGTAATTTTCGTACGTCTGAAAATTGTCCATCACCATTTGTATTATTCGTCTTGCTTCGTGAAATAAATGAAAATCGATTTTTTCCCCATTCGTCTTGTTAAAAATGTTTTTCACTTGTTCGTCAGAAATGTTGTACAGAAATATCGGATTTTCCTTCATATTGGATTTGTAAAATTTCTGTTGCGCTTCCAGTAAGTTTGTAATTATGCATTTTTTTTTTATATTCATTTTTTGGATCGTTCTTGTGTACGTGGCTTCGTTAAAAATGGCTTCAATAAAATTGTCCACGAAATTTAGCAACTCTTCATCGGGGATAATGAATAGTTTTACGTAACTCGGGCTAGGGAAGTTTGCTAGGGTTGTTCTGTCCTCCTCGTTGTGCGTCTTTCTTTTGGCCGTGTCCATTTTATTGTGAAAATGACGCGCTTGGTCGCTAGAATCGCCCCTCTAGTTCGATGCATTTTTGTTTCCCTCCATCCTCTGTTACGTTGCCCTACACGCGTCGGGATTGATTTACTTTTTTTTTTTTTTTTTCTTTGCTGTCCTCGTTTGGGCACAGTCTCCAAGTGAGGCCTCCTTTTTCCGCAAGCACTTTTTGTGCAAAAAAAAAAAAAAAAGAGCGGATGTGCAAAGAGAGGAACTTCAAGACGGCATAATTTACACACCCTTACGCGGAGCTTGTATTGGCATGGCATTAACACATGGCCCCCTGTTTGTAGACCTCTTTATGCGGGTAAGGCACAGGACGAGTCCCCTTTTTCCTCAAAAAGGCCATCTCGTCACCGCAGGGGGGTTTTCATTTAAGGAGGGTGACGTAGTCTACCATTTTACAACTTATGCACACGTCAATAATTTTTCGAATGGCACAATATTTTTTATTCACCGTGAGGCAGTTGTTAAACCGATCTGTGCCCTTGGGCGCACAGGAATGGACTAAACATAATAAAGCACCGTTGGGCGAAATGGGGTACACGGGGATGCCCAAATTAAACCCCATGTTCGCATGCGTGATTGGATGTGATTACAATTGTGTACACTCGTCAAACAGTCTGCAGTAACGCGCGTGTAGTTGATGGGAGAATGTCAAAATTAACTAGCGGTGCACATGCAGGGAGCTGCAGCGCGAGATGAAAACAACGGAACGACGTTATATACAACGCAACGGCGAACAAAATCGAAAAAAAGGTGAATGGCAATCGAAATGCAAAAAGTAAATATACACGACAAGCGATCCACACGGGAAACGCATATCTGCATGCATATAATGAGTTCCCCTGAGGGGAGGATACTACGTGAAAGTTCCCTCTTTATCCATTTTTTGCAGGCAAGAGGGGGGGGGAATTTCATCTTCGGGGGGATATAGGCGATCAAACGTATATGTGAATGCCACAAAGGTTGTCACACATATACATATTCACAAACTGATTTGTTCCTTTGACGGTTCCTCCTTACGCGTCTTCTACAGAAAACGGGGGCACTTTTTTAGCCGTCCATTGGCTTCCACCAAACGACGCTTCATTTGAGCAGCTCTTCCTTGTACGATTTCGCATGTGCAGTATACTCGCAGGAATTTTTCGCGTGCTGAAAAGAAAACAAGGAAAAATAAAAACGCAGTGAAAAATGCACACATAATGGTGAATAGGGTGGTGGCACCACAATTTCATTAGCGGCGAAAATATTTTTTTTTAATGAGGGGGAAATTTCACAAATTAGGAGCTGCTTAAAAGGTGAAGCATTCAAGGCGATGCGAAGAAGTGCATACAAAGGTGAGATCTAATGCAGGAGGGAGAAAAAACCAAAATCCCTCTTAAGTGGCACAGTTGCCAAAATGAGATTTTCCCAAATGTGCGTTTTTTTTTTTTCTAGACAGGCGGAAATGCATAGACAACATAGTTTGGACAAAGCGTTGTCATTTTATTCGTCCCCGCTCTGTTTAGAAACCCTTTTAATTCAGGGCGCAAACAAATATTATTTATGATGCACAAAATGGAGACACGCGCCTCAGTAGACGCGAACCCTCTATGCAGATATGTCGAAAGTACCTTCACGAAAATGGCATGGTTAAACTTTTTGGCAAGTAATAAGGTACGGTAAACCATTTCACTGACGTCTGGAGCATGGTCATCCATGTGGAGCAGCAGGGTGGGGAAAACCTCCTCACAAACTTCATCAGCTATAATTAAAGACTCATTCAGAAAAAGTGAATACAATCCATTTGCGGACAACTTACGAATTGTGTTACTCGAGTCTTCCATTAGCTTGAGCAAAATGTTTAACAAGTCCAGTAAAATATTATTATTGCTTACGCGCCTTGCAATTTGTGCATATATGGCGATGGCTATTTCTCTGTTTTCACCATTCCAAGTATCATCAGTGGAAGACTTCAGGACACATACCAAATTTTCAATCAGGACATTATTTTCAATTACATATTTATGGAGGTCATTTTTTAAGAATAATGTTCTTATACAATGTAGAGCTCCTTTTCGTGTCTGCGCCTCGTTTAGGCCACTCTTCCATGTGCATAAGGGTAACAATATACTTTTTATAATTTGTTCTGAATTTTTTTGTAAAAAATTGGGGAAAATATTTTTCGAACAAAACAAATTTAAGAATAATAAAAATTCTGATTTCATCAATGGCCTTAATTCTTGCTTCATAATTATGAGTAAGAAATCCATCAAATGGTTCGAATGTTCCATCATGACTTCCTCGCTTATGTTACACAAAAGTACATTTAAAAATTCAATGTTGCATTTGAAATTATTAAAATCGTTTATATTTATCATCGTGGGGACGTTCTGCACAAAGTGAACATATTCATCGTTGTAAAAATCACTTTTTGTCTTATGCCCATGGTAATAATGCTCAATTTTTTCAATTAATTTTAGCACTTGTGATTGCGGGCAAAATTGAGTATCTGATTGTAAAACGACCAAAAAGTGGAAAATAATTTTGCTGTACTTTTTGCAATCCTCCCCGATAATGTTTAGCAAATGCTTTAGGGTTATTAACATGTAGGGAAACGCATCTACATGCTCGTATTTCGCATTTTCGCTTATTAGGAATAAAATGAAATTTATGTGCTCTTCGTCCAGTTTGCTTTCTGTTAGTTCGTTCCGCAGGTAATAGCCGGCCAGCAACTGGGATAGCATCATGAGCACGATTTTTTTGTTGTCGCAGATTATGGGGGCGCTGTCCACGGAGTAGTGCACCGATTCCTCCATCGGGCCGTTCGCCGATTCGTGCACTGCGTCCGTCTTCTCCGCATCTACAGGGTCCCCTCCCTTGCGCTCTTCCCCCCTGTCATCATCCGTAGCTCTCTTTTCCAAGTGTTGTTCCAGCTGACCATCCCCACCAGCGTGCTCCTCCAAAAGAATGTCACTCTTCCTGTGCACACACCACCTTTCGTACGCCTTCCGTTGGTACATGTGATAATTAGTGTTTGAGAAAATATATTTTGTGCATGGTGCACCATTGGTGTTGCTTAAACAAAGGGTGATGTTTTTTCTTCCATTTCTATCTCCATCATGCACGCCACTCGGGGATACGTCGCTAAGTTTGTAAAAACTTTCCGCAACTTTGCGAGCGTTGCAGTCGCCTAATAGGAGTTGGGCCACTTCGGGAAGCGTCACATTGAGGGGCATCAAATACCCACACGTGATAATTAGGAAGACAAATTTGGTGAGGTACAAAAAGGACTCAAATTCGTAGCCGTACTGCGAAGCGGCATCTTTCAGCGAAGCATCCTTCGGTGAGACTTCCTCCGCAGATATACCATTCACCAACAAGGGCGTTGTTGGACAGTGGATGTACTTAAACAGGACCAGCGATCTGTACACAAAGGACAAGATGGGCCTAACAAAACGAACCGTGTCGCAGTAGGTGCACAAAAGAAACGTGGATAAAATGCTGGCGAAATCATCCTTCCCTTCGCTCCACGAATTTCCTTCATTATTCATAATCTCGTAGAATAGCTCCTTTTTTATTTCCCCAAAGAGGGCAGGGATATCGCTGCACACAACGTTAAACGGGGAGGGAGTGTAAAAAAGATTGTTCATCCTGGAGAAAAAATATTCACTTGGTGCTTCCCCCGAATGTACACAACAGTTTTCCTTCTGCCAAACGGTTCTTTCCTCATCAACATTTTCGTCAATTCTATACAAATTAGTTTTTGCCCTTTCAGAATGTGTGCCATTTTGGACAAGTTCCTCTTTGCCTACATGCTTCTCATGTAGCCCACGCGCTAATTCCTTTAAGGAAGAGGCTATCGTTTTGAGCGCACTATAACATCGCTCGTTGAAGGAGGGTGATATATTTGCATTTGCACACAAAAGGACAATAAACACGAGTTTAGCCCTTTCACAGTTGCTTAAATCGTTAATCTGTAAATTCCAGACTTCAATGCAATCCACCACTTGGAACAAAACGTTGCTCGATTTTTTCCTGCACAAGTTTTTTAAACATTCTGCGACGTCATAAAGGAAATCTCTGTTGCTCCCAACGCATAGCAACTTTTTCAGGCATCTTAGAGCTAGCTAAAATGAAAAAAAAAAAAAAAATTTATTGCACACAAAGGGGTATGGACTGATACAGCTAGCTAGCCAAATGGAACATCGTTGCAGCGGCAGAATTGCCAAGTTATCCTCCTTCCATTGGCGAATAAAAGTCAACCAAACGGCATCTCGCATTTTACCTCGCGAATATCATTCTGTCTTATGGCTAAGGCGGACAACAAACCTTTCAACAAGCTCCTGTACAGCTGCGAAGGCGGGGGGAAGGGGGTACAGAACATACTTTTTTGCATATATACATTACACGGTGTACATATAAAAATAATGTGACTATAACGAAACAAACATTTGTAATTACGTGATTAAAGTCCTTTGACTTGGGTTCATACGGCAGTTCACATAACAACTGGCAGCTGATTTTTTTTATAAGGGGACAGGGGTCTTTAATTAAAACTGATAAAGCCGTTAAAATATCTTCCAGATAGGGGTTAATGTGCAGCACATGTGGAGCAGTGTGAGCGCCTTTGTTCTTAAATCTGTGGACAATAATGCTAAAAAATTGCACAATTTTTAATCTGACTTCTTCTTTATCTTCTATTATTTTTTTATTTTTATCTTCCTTTAATCTGTTCATACAGATATGAAGAAAATTATCATCCCTGCTGACATTTTTAAATAGCACGCTGTCTAGCAATGTATCATCGAGATTTTTTTCAATAAGAAAGTAAATGTCAAGAGTAAAATTCCTGCACTCATCGAATTCTTCGTTAATCCATTTGTGCAACTGGCACAGCAGATAGTTGCGAAAAAAAAGGCAGAAATTTTCCTTTTCTTCTTCCTTGCAAATAGTAAAAAATTCTGATAGCTTCTCATATATTATTTTTAAGGCGTTTAATTTTTTGTCTTTGTCTGATATGTCTGTGCTGTTTAAAATGTGTATGGGTTGTTCGACATGTTTGCGCAGCGCGTGTTGGCTTTTTTCTTCGTGCAGCATATTGCTCATCGTTCGTGCACTGTGTGTGGGAGGAGAAAATATTAAAATTGGGTGAAGTGAGTAAGAACTTGAATGAACCTACAGAAGCATCGGCTATGGCGCTACGGATAAGCCCCAGTATCAGCATATGTACCAATTTCTACTCATGCGTGCATCACAAAACAACAACGTACAGGAGAAAAAATATGACGGACGTTACAAAGTTACAAATGGGAGAATAAATTGGTACAGTCCTAGTGTACACAAGTTAGCGCAAATTATGTTAGTCCAGTTTTTATAAACATTGCGTTAATTTTCGCGTTCGCCTTCATTTGTCATTCATTTTGGACTTATCAGGGGTGGCGGGAGAAATAGGAAACGTACACATACATACACCTTTGTGGCGATGCGAATCACAGCGCACAGTGTCTATCTCTTGTAGTTTTCTCAAAAAAGAAAAAAAAAAAAAAAAAAACAAGAAAAAAAAATCCTTTCGGTTCACTGCGACATGGTATGGAGTTTCGAAACATAATACTTTTTTTCTTTTTTTTTTTTCTTTTCCTCCTTTCTACGTGTGTTTTTGGAAAAAATGAGCACACTGTTAGGGGCGCATTGTATACATCCAGGAGCGGCTAGGCGAAGAGAGCCTTTCATCTCTGCACTGCCGTACTGGCGAGGACATTGGTGCGCTGCCAGTTGGCACGCCGCTACTTCGATGCATGAGTCGCATTTTCGCCTTTCTTTATCTTCTTTTTTTCACCTTTTTACATCCTCTTTTTTTCGCTTTTTTGTATTCTCCCTCTTTTTTTTAACGTTCTCGTGCTGTTCACGCGCACACGTCCTACATGTGGAAGCAAAAAGTGCGGGAAAGGGACACCTACACTTACTTTACACGTGGCTTCAAGTGTAAATAAAAAATCGGCAGAGCACAAATTGTAAATCTTTATCCCAAGAGAAGCGCCCCTTGAGTTTTTTTTTTTTTTTTTTTTTTTTTTTACATGCATGGTTGATTTTTCTGTATATTTACACATATATGCATATTTATATGTGTAGGGCCTTGTATATATATGCGCGCTGGTACGTATGTGCTTGCTTGTGCCCCCCCCTCCCTCTGGCAAGCTGACCCAAGAGAAGCGTGCCCTTATTTCTATACGCCCAATAATGACGCTTGCGGATTGGGCGGCATCCACTTGCTTGAAAATACCTTTCTGAAGAAATGAAGAGAAAATCGGTTTTCACCAAAAAGAATGTCATAAAGGCGCAAAACACGTTGGATAAGTTTGGCATTTTTAAGAAGGTGAACGTGATGAAGAAGGATCAGTCGGACAAGCAGAAACCAAATGAAACAGACGACGAGAGTGTGGATGCCAAAGGGGAAGGATACACGGTTAAGGTGAAAAAAGAAATCCATGACGATAGGGAGAATGAAAAAAGGAATGATAATATGATCAAAAGTGAGCACAGCACAGACGGGCCGCCGTTGTTCAGGGTTAAGGTAAAGTTAGAAAGTCATTCGTCCTCCAATAGAACCCAGGAGGATACAAAAGATCCCTTGGGGAAACACTCTCGTGGGAGGAGCGAAAGGGGGTGTCGCAGCAGTGGGGGAGAAGGCGATGAGGAAGACAACAGGGGGGATAATGACGAAAATGACGAAAATGACGAAAATGACGACAGTGGTAACCCTGGAAAACACGGACACAGTGGTAACAAGAGAGGAGGGGACGATTCCGACATGCAATACAGCAAAGACAGGAGGGATAAAAAGAAAAGAAAAGAAGATAACACCGGCGAAAGCAACACCCCCTTGCACAAGCTATACCAACCAATTTATAAGGAAGACTATATAAACGAAATTCGAAGCAAGAGAAGTCCATTGCTCACTACCATATTGGATGATGATTTAAATTTTAATTTAATTTTGTGTGGACCTCCAGGATCGGGAAAGTCTTCCCTAGTAAATGTTATAAAAAATAAAACCAACAATTTGTTCATCTCACTTTTCCACCTGAACAACTTAAATAATGAGCTCAGAAAAATATATGACCAGTCAGTTATCAATTACAAATTATCCAAGAAGAGAACCATTCTGTGCATAAAAGATATAAATAGGCTGAATAAAAATCAGCAAGAAAATTTATTGCTAATTTTGAAGAAAGGTTATTTCTATCTCCTCGCCACATGTCTTTTCAACCCCATGAATATTTTAAATGCTTCCCTAAGCTCGAGATGCTTGTACTTATATCTGAATGCGTATGATAAAATAGAACTGGCGTTGATTATCAAAAGGATAATTAACAAGCTTAACATTGACATTGAGGACAATGCCTTGAACATAATAATGAACCACTCCTGTGGGGACGCTCGGGTGGCCATCAACATGATCGAGTTTACTATTAGGAATATGGAACGCGAGGAGCAGAAGGAAAGGGAGAGGGAAAAAGAGAGGGATAATCAAAACGATATGGAAAAGGATAGTCGAAATGACATTGAGGAAGATAAACGAAATATGCAAAACTCGGAGGAAGCAAAATTAAGTTGCGATATGATTACGAAGCAATTAAAATTGAACGACTTCAGCAATCTGCACAAATGGGCATCGTCCACACAGACTGAAAAAAAAGTTATTCAGCTAACTAATATAAAAAATTTTTTGCAAAATTTTCCATCGAACGATAACAAGCTAGACCATTTTAATTTCATCTCTGGATTACACAAAAGTATCAGAGCTGGAAATGTCAAAGCAGCTATTTTGTACTTAACAAAATCTTTGAAGAACGGGGAAGATCCGTTATACATTTGCAGACGGTTAATTCGAATAGCCTCTGAGGACATCGGGTTGGCAAACCATGAGGTGCTGTCTATTTGTATAAACACACATTATGCATGCAAGGCTATAGGGATGCCTGAATGCCAGACGTCGCTAATATACGCCGTCATTGTTTTATGCAAATCTTCCAAAAGTAACTACATTTATGTTGTGGAAAATAACGCCAAGCAAATTTGCAATGAGTACAGATTTGACGTACCTTATCATTTGAGGAACACGTCCAACAGGTACGTTTACACAAACCAGCCCGAAATTCTCACCTTCGAGGAACATTTGAACAAGTACAAGGATGTGCAGAAATATTTGCCCGACTATATAGACAAGTTGGAGCTTTTGCCAAAGATATGACCCGGAGGGGCCCCAACCAGATACAGCGTCACCCAGGAGCTCCGCGCGCATATACACATGTACACATACATATGTATATGTGTGCGTGTACCTCTTACGTAGCCCCATGTGCACGCCATTTGAACCCTTTGCTTTTTTAACAATTTTTATGTTGTAACACCATCCTTCCCGCCACTTACATTTTTCCCTCCCCCATCTGATTTATTCCTCTTTTTTTAAAAATCTACTTTATAAGGAGCCTGTTTTGTTTTTTTTTTTTCCCCGAACGAAAAAGTTGCCGTGACATGTGATATGGAGTTACGCGCAACATTCGAAAAAGGCGTTTCGCGTTTGATAAGAATGGGCAAGTTACATTGAGTTAAGGGAGAGTTGGAAAAAGCGAGAAACGTGCAAACGGGTGTAACACAAGCGTGAATCAGTTTGTGTACACATAGGGTAAACTTACACGTATACACAAAAAAGGTGCCGCCAATATGCACACTTGCGCAGGCGTGCCATGTGGAGAGTTGGTGCGCGCTACTACAACGTCACCTGCCCACTTTCCCCTGTCGTATGTCTACAACCGGATTGTACGTTAACATCTGGATGTCGTTGAGCACCCCCTTTAGGTGGGCCTCTCTCTCCTTCAGTACACTGTTAAGCAAATACCTCGTGATGTAAGCAAAGTCCTTCAAATCGGTGTTGGTCAACTTTATGTTAAAATTAAATAAGCTTTCGTAATGAGGGTTATTTGTTTTTTTTTTATTTTTCAATTTCTCCTTAATTGCGTGTAGTGCCGATAGGATGAGACACATCGACTTGGCACCATCATCCTGCTCGTTACACACGAGTAAAGGGATGTCACACTTTTTAAATATTTCGTTAATCCCTTCGTTTATCACTCTGAGATTGTCTCTTCGTTTCTGCTGCTCTTCCAGCTGGACTTTGTTCAAGTAATTCAATTCGAAGAAATTTGCAATTATGCTTTGGTTCGGCAGGGGGGCGTTGTAGCCCGCGGTGTCTTGGGCGTTTCCCACGTGATCGTCAGGGCTGCCCTTCACGCCATCCCCGCGCTGCCCTCCACAACTTTCGTCGTAGCCCACGAGGTCCTTATACTCATCGATCAAAGCCAACGTGGTCAGGCTGTTCAGGATGTACGTCCTGACACCTACCTCGTGTATATTCGTTTTGTTAACATTGCGCACATTGATGTTCAGTTTTTTTAGGTATTTCAAAATGTGCTCGATGTAGTTTTTCTCCTTGGTGTAGTTAATTTTTTCCCTCTCCTTTGGTTTATACAGGCGGATTTTCTCTTCTTCCAATTTTAATATCATATAGTAAAACTCGTCCTTTCCTATGTCCACGGGGTTATAATTGAGTAGCTTCAGCTTCCTTTCCAGTGAGTTCATCTTCAGGGGGGTGGAGACTCGACCGTATAAATGGCACAAGCTAATCAGCAAAGAGGGCAACCAGGGTGATTAAGTCCAAAAAGGAAACTAACCTAAATCGCCCACGTAGGGACGAAACTGCGAATGGGGTTGTCCTTCGCACGGGGTATAATTAAACGCGTGCAACGCGTCAATCTTACGTCTGCTCAACAGGAGAAAGAAGCAGCGGAAGTCTCCACGCAGCACTCTGCATGTATGCAAATTTGTATACACAAAAAATGTAAGCGGGAATAGGGGCACATAGATCTACATATGCCACAAGCGCGCACGACCGTATGATGCCGCTAAACGTTGTTACAAAAATGGCAACAAAATTATTTATTTTTTTCTTTTTTTAACATTTTTCAGTGCACGTATTGGAAAAAGCGCAAAGGTGTAAGAACGCCTTCCACCCAGATACACCCATTTTTGCTAAATTGAAAATACTCCGTCATGCGGGCTTGCCGAACCCGTCTGCCGTGCGCCCCACTGGAGGGGCAAAATGATTGAATTAAAGTATAAACACGGCCACATGCACAGGCGGAAAAAACTTTTGTTTTGTGTGTTCTCAGTGAACAATCTTACGTATCACTTTAGTGCCATTTCAATATATTTGTTGCCCCCTTAAAATGAAAAATGTAACGCCATTACTCACATGAGGGAGGGGAAAAAAAAGGCGTGCATCTTTCTAGCCGTACACATATAGTTAAATGATATATTGAAAGGTGGGCATACAATGGGCTGAACATATAGGCTATACAATTTTGCCTAACGAGGAAATGCGAAGGGGAGTTCTTCATTAGTTCCCTTACAAAATGTACACCCTCCTTTGTTTGTTTCATGTTTATGTAAGTGCACTACTCAGACGGGTAGCAACAAGTGGGTGATTATTCCCCTGGAACAATACATCCAAATGCGTGTACAAGGAGAAGAAGCTAACTGATGAACATTTTTTGCAACGCTTCGAAATAATACAGGCATGGAGGGCGCCTAGATATGTGTCGGGTCCTTTATGAGGAGGACTGTTGGTGCATTTCTAAACACCAGCACAGAGCATATGTGTCGGTCTATCAGCCACCTATTGAGCATGCGCTTTGTGGAGAACACGTAATTGTATAATAATTTTTTAGTCTAGCAAAAATGTGGTTAGCTACATGGGGCCATATGGCACAATAACTGTTTTGTTCGTGAGCGAATTAACAAAGGGGGAACAAATATGCATACAATATATGAGATGGGGGTGGTATAATAGACTGCTTAGTTTGGCCAAAACGATATCATAAAGATTTACGCATACCAGGTGTTGGCATAGACGGGGTGGTGGTGGGAGGTTATGAATGTATAAATGTGTGTAGGCCTACAGGGACACCCTATACACAGATGCGGATCATAAATCGTATGCGGCTTGAAGGGTCTGGGGGGATAATATTATGCGACGGCGCTTCATATGAGAAGTCGCTTCATATGCACAGTAAAGGGGGCAAAAACGTAACGTGCGCTCTGCACCGGCTTAGTAAAAGAACGAGTTGAAAAACGGATTGTCGTTGGTCGGCACGTTGGAGGCAATTTGATCCGCCTCGTTTTTTGCCCGCTCGTCTTCCAGCAACATATTTTTTTTCTGAGTCTCCAGAAATTTTAAGTAGTTATGGAAGACCAACAAGTGGTGGTGACACAAATGGTTCAGTGAGTGCAGCTTGTTAATTGAACTTACTGAAACGGTTAGGTCTTCATTAAGGCTCACTGTGTTGCAGATACCAAAGATCTGAACCATGTCATCTATTTTTATTTCATCATTTTTATCATTGCACGCAGAGTACGAATATGTTAAAAGTAACTTTGCCTTAATGTACCCTGTGGTGTCGTCAATTGTGTAGACTATGAATTCCTTTTTCTCTTCGATGGCTAATACGAAGCCGACTATTTTAATGAGGTTTAATTTTTTATTTTGGAGTGTCAATTTATTTCTGTCTTTCCTGTGTGCTCTTATGAGCATACTGATGTTGGTGTACATGAAATTCGCCTCGTTGACTTCCTCCTTCAGCTCGTCATTGAAGTAGCCGCTGTCGACGCTCAGGTTTGTCATTTGGTCAGGCTGCTTTATGTGGTCAGACGCGTTATACCTGTGGCAGGGTAACAAAAAAAAGGGGGAAACGGAGAAATTACTCAAATGTAGGCTTGCGCATTTGTAGGCTATATGGGTGTATCCTGCCCCCCCAAAAAAGATGGCCTGTAGCAATTTACACCTTTACACACTGGAGCACACGCCACTGGGGGATAATATTTTCCGGCGCTCCTTTCACATTGTGACACTCACTTAAGCACATGTATATGACACGTAAGTCTCCACGTGGAAGACTTCTAACAAGTTCCGTTGGACTTAAAGGGGAAATATTCCGAGTGTTGCTTAATCTGTAATGTGGATGCCCAAGTAAACGACGCCAATGTGTTCGCTCGAAAATGTGCGATATGGGCTAGCTCGTCGTTAAAATGTGAGATTGTTCCTACGATACACCTCTGTTTCAGTTGGAACAAAAATCGGTCATACTTTCAAGGCGCTTTTGCGTAAACGTCAAAGTGGGAAAAAAGAAAAAAAAAAAAAAAAAAGCGGAAAACTGATGTATCGCTAAGGCGCGAAGTGGGAGCGCTGACGCAGTGCATAAAAAAAAAAAAAAAAAAAAAACACAAATGAGAACGAAGCAAAAGGAAACAACAAACTAGTATGATATGATGTGAAAATAAAATACAAAGTGCCTCTTAAGAGTTGTGCCATTTTTTTTTTTTTTTTCCTGTTCCACTTATTCCATCTGGTGTGTCCCTTTTTAAAGCGTAGAGCGGGAGCCCCATGTGAGGCCAACAATCAAAGCATGCAGGAGTCCCACTTTTTTTTATTTTTTACGCGTTATGGTGTAGATGTTCGAAAGGGGATTCACGACCGTGGCCATTTTAAAATTAAAAAAATAAAAGAATAATAAAATAAAAATGCATTTATGTACACATAACAAACAACACTATTATGTTTGCTTAGCGGGAGATGACGTCCTTAAGCATGCGTCGAAAAATATCGAAGCGGACGCGTAAATTAGCTCACCTGGGACAAACCACATTATTGAAGCAGTTTAACTGAACGGGAGAGAATGGCAGCGAGGGACGCTCACAAGAGGCGATTCATAGAGAAGAAAGGAAAGGTCACCTAAATAATAACACGAAAGCAACACCGCATGCAGGACGGTGTGACTCCTCGTTATGCACTCTCGAATGGGTTATGTCTATGCAGGAGTCCCTACACAGAAGAGGGGCTGTGCAGAGGGTAGCATTTACACATATGTATATATACATTACTGCAGGAACATTTACCCAACAAGTGACGGTGCTTCCCACAAAGGGACCGCAAACCTATCCGGATCGTGCACGCACACCGAACAGTGGGGGCACGACGTGCACCCCTTACCCTCAGCTACTCCCGCCCTAACATGCTCCCCCAAAGGGTAGTCTTCTATCGCCATGCGCACGATCAGTTAAAATTGTTTTTTCAAATATGTGCATCCTATGAAAATGGTAACATAAGAACAGGGGGTAACGCCTTCAGTTCCATGGTCGGGAAATACAACAAAAGTGAAAAGAAGAAATTTATCATCTCGTCATGTAAAACCTCGACGGAGTTTAGGTATGGCAATCGTGGGAAACAGAAAGGGGGAAAAACAGCGAATCGAACAAGTCCGCAAAGTAGCAACAATTTTTACCTGAACAAAATAACACACATACATAATGGGAAAAAAAAATTATGCGATAGAAACGAAAAGACAGAAATTGTGCATGTCACTAAAATAAGCAATAGCTACATAAGATACATTTTGCCCAAACAGGGTCTGCATTATTTGTACACATACCAATATGCTTTGATTGAGCTACTAAACCGGTGTAATAACATCTTAATCAGTTTGCTGTACTCTGACTGCATGATATCTTACGTGGTTTATTCATTTTACAAAATAAATGCCGATAATGTAGATGCACAGGAGGGAGTAGCAACGTCTAACGGGGAGACAGACAACACGTTTGCGCCAGAAGATAAGATAAAGAAGAGGCGAAAAAAAAATAATTTCGTATGCCCGGACAAGTCCGTACTCATCGTGGCCTCATCACAGGCACAAACGTCCGCTCTGCATGAAACGATAATAAAATTGAAACCTCCAGATGTGTCAACCTACTTAATAAATAACGAAAAGAACATTGAAACTGTGCGATGCAATTATTTTCTATACAATATAATAATTTTGAATGCAGAAAGCTTCTCCCCCAAGTACGACTTTTCCGTTTTGCTAGAGCTTGTGAACTTTATTATAATTGATGACCTGAGCGAGCTGTATCAGTTAAAAATGGACAATACGGTGAAAAGGATTTTAACACTATGTAAGGAAAAGCAGGACAGGGGGGACGCTGTGCAAATTTTGCTGGTAAATAAATCGCATGATCAATGGGTAGTGAATGACTTGCTGCAACATGCTCGGAGTGTAAATTATGAGGTTTGTGCGGAGGGAGACGGGCGTGCGGTTGACCCGATTCACACGGTTGACACGGTTAATGCACTTAGGATGTTTGACCAGCGTAGATCTGGGAGTACTTTGCTCGAAGAAGAACAAGGGAGATACCCCCCAGGGAAAAAGACACACAGCCGCGGTAGAACCACCGCAGAAGGTGTGGCCTCACGGTGGGGAACAACCCTCCACTACGTCAACCTACGGAGGTACAGAAAGAACAACTGTGATCATTTCAGCATTTGCGCCCCCATGAGTGAAGACAAAAAATTTCTAGTTCTGTTTTACCTTCTAAACAAGAACAAAGGTAAGAAGATATTAATTTATTACAATAAGAGTGATGTGTACGCGTTTTATGGATTTGTCAATGCGTACATCCCTTGCGTATTCGTGTCGAGTTCGCACAAGGATCACTACAAGAATAGCATAGTGAGGACGTTCAACAAGACGGGGGAATATGTGCTAATCACGGACGACATGAGCATAAAGAAGGCTTACCCCGTCGATGCGCATGTGCATATACACTACACCTTCCAAGAGGACGCTAATTTGTACGTGGACGCGTTGTTCGAGGGGATTCCGGGAGAGGCGCACGGGGTTGGAGGTAGCGGTGTTGCAGTTAGCGACGTGGTTGGCAGTGGCCACTCCGCAGGCATTCCCGCCCCCGTTGCGGTGACCCAGTCCATCCTGTTCTACAGCAAAAAGCAGCGCAAGAAGTACGAAGAGATTAACGCGATTTTTAATTTCAAGAGCTACCCCCTGCCGCCCGCCAAAGAGCTCAAAGATAATTTCCTCACCTTTATGATTGACGAAATTAAGGAGGTCGTCATTGAAGACAATAAACACCTGGAAGAGGCCAAAAAAATATATGAAAAATATGGACATGCCTTCCTCTCAGCTGCGTTATATTATATACAAAAAAAAAAATTGTTTAAAAAAAATTTTAAAAAAAAAGATTTTTCCAATGTGACTTTCATTGTAGAGAGAAGCACACATTTAAACACTAAGGCGAAAGTTTTAATTTTTTTAAACGATTTGTTGAATTTAAAAAAAAATGTTGGAGACATCAATTATTTTGTTCAAAATTATATGTACTGCAAGAGGGGATATATTATGACCGTGCCTGAGGACATATACAATGTGATGCACAAGAATAAAAGTACCGGCGCGAATGAGGGCAGGTGGGCACACGTACACATGTACATTCTTTACAATAACTATGAAAATCGGTTCAGAACTACGCACCTCAGAAGGGGGGTATACAAGTCGAAGAAATCGCTCAGGTATGTGTCTCGCCATGAGCAGACATCAATGCGCTTTTGTGTTAATCATTTTTCCTTTTTAATTATTTATTTTTTGTGCTGTAAGAGGGAAGTTGCCTCGACAAACACACGCAACATTTGCCGTTGCTGTTCAGAACGGCACTCTCTTCTAATCCCTTTTTTCCCCTCCCTCCTTTTCCTTCCCTTTCAGGAGACTCAAAAAACGAGTAAACATGAAGATCGAACGAGTTGAAATGAACAAACTGAAGAACTGGATGTCCTCCACGTTTAAGTTAAACAGGAGGAACGTAAAAAGGGATGCTTCACCGGGGGTAACGGCGGGTCAGCCGACTTGATCTCATTCACGAAAAAAAAAAGGGGGTAAACATATAATATGTTTTATTCTCGTTGGTTAAAATAAGGCACAGTTCGTGGTACGATGTTGGGTGAGTGTCTCCACGTGGCAGGTGCACACACCATTGCACAGGTGCTAACTACACGTAGGAACGAAAAAAAATGTACATAAAATAAAAAAAAGCACATATTGAATTCACGCACCGCAAGCCCGTGTAAGGGGACGTCAAACACCGCTTCGTTTTACACCTCTTAATATGTACTTTTCTGTACCCTTCTCAATTTATCCCAGCGATCAAATTCAAGTGATCGGGGAGGGGAGAAATATTGTACGTGCGCCTGAACAAATCAATGTCTTTGTCCAGCCATTTTTCAATATGGATGGAATGCAGCGGTTTCGTTGTTGACACGCCCGCCATGTATGCCCACGGATACAACTCGCGTAGTAAAGTTTTCCTTGGCTTGTACTGAAAAAGAAAATATTTTTTTTTCAAATTTTTTAAAAAAATATACTCCCTATTGGGATGGTCATATATAATATCATTATTGCTTTTGTTTTCAAATCCGTACATGATGGAACCCCGGACGGCGGAAGAATTATTTATATTGTTAAAATAGTATTGGTACATTTTCGAGTAGAAGTTCTTGTCGTTTCTCTTATCCACATGGAAGTAGTCAGTCAAATTGTACTCATATTGTTTGATGGATAATTCGTCCACATAATTGTACTCATCATTATAGGTATAATCAAAATTGAGGGATAGAAAATTGGAAGGAATGGAGTCTTTAAAAATGTATTGAAAACGATATAGAGGTGTCATGAAGGGGGCTACTAAAACGGCTAGCGCAGTTATTGGTAATTTCGTTTGCACGAGTTCAATTAATTTCAGTGCTGCTTCAGACTCGATGGAAATATTTAAATTGTAAACCACATGGCCAATATCGTGGATCTGTCTATATCTTGTTAAAATATAAGAATAATTTAAATCTGTAAAAAAATGAGATGCTTCTCTATCATGTGCATGCAATTTGTACGTTTCCAAAAATTCCATATACTTATACCCTAGTGTATTTTTTGGTAGTTTTTTTAACTCATTAAATTGTATGTCCTGTCGTATTAGCAACGGTTTTTCTTTCAATATAGTCCTTCCCTCTTCATCGTTCTTCATATATTTATATATTTGCTTCACCGCGTATATGGCCGATATGTCCGCTGCATGCGCCAGCAGGTGCGTTCGGGCCGGCGTCTTATAAATGCGCAGTATCGTTTTTAAAAAAATTTCAAATTTGTTTGCAGCATTAATGTCTATGAAGTTTGACCGGAATATTTTTACAAAGTTATTCATTTTGCCGGCATTGCAGAGGGGGGGCTTGAAAAGTGCCCATGTGTGTAGGGGGGAGACCTATATTTCGCTCGCACACGCACATGGAATGGTTTTGTTTGTTCAGCTTATAAAAGAAGCCGCTCAAGGGAGGGAAAAAAAAGTTACCGTGACCACTACGCTGTATTGGTTTTTTCCCCCCTCCGTTACCTTAACCAACTCATTTGTAATTGCATTCCGTGTAAATCTCTTCTCGGATGCATGCTTCCCTTTCCCTTGTGGGTGAAATTAACGCCGAAAGGGTATGAACGGCAAGGTCGTGCGGGGGGCTATACAATGGCGTTCCAACGTACATATATATATTTAAGTGTATACGTGTATATACACACCGTGTTGTTCCAGCATCCCCTCGGGAAGGACAACCAGCTTTGCTAAAATATTTTATTTCGTAGAAACAGCACAACGGCGGATGCTCCCCAGAAAAATTTTCTCTCCCGCACGGTGAGAACGGGTGTGTGCTCAGCAGGACCTATAAGCTTGGCAGAGAAACGAAGTAAACTGACGCGACGTGTCGAGAAGTGCCACGAAGCGAAGCAGTGATAAGTGCTTGCGCAACTACTGGACGAACTACAAGTTAGGCCACCCTTGGGGCCACTACTAAGGTCACTACGAGCGCTCCTTGCCTTCCGTTTTACTCGCACGAGATAACGGAAACGGCAAGGAGGTTAAAAAGAGGTGAGAAAAAGGCAAAAACAATGGCAAAAAAAAAAAAAAAATAATAAGGAAAATAATAACAACACAAAACACAAAAACATGGATCTGCTCTGGATGTCGCCGCAGCCGTTGCAATTTCATCATAAATTTAATTTAAGTGGACTTCAAAAAAAAAAATAAAAAAAACAAAACATAAAACGTAAAAGCGTAAAACGTAAAACGTAAAACAAAATGGGGAAAGTGACTGTTCAAAAGTGATATGTGCACAGCACAGGTCGTGTAGCGGCTGGAGAAGTGCTGCTGCAGCATGGGGCGTCGCAAAGGGAAGTGCAGCAACCGGGTCACATGCACATGCATGTAGCAGGCGAGCATACACGTATACACCAACCCCCCCCTTCTGTGCGTCTGCAAACCTGTGGGAATATGCTTTGCTTTCACGTGGGGAATCGCTCTGATAAGCATATATAAGCATAAGGCCAAAACAGATGAGTCGAGGGACTGGACAGAGGCATATATTTAGGTCCCCCTTTTGGCGACATGGGAACGATGAAATGGAGGCCACACAACGACGTGCAAGACGACCACTGGAATGGCCAACCCCCATGGCTCAAAAAAAAGCCACCGCATTTTTCATCTCGCTGAGCAAAATTTCCTGCCTACTTGTGTCATCATCAAATATTTTTTCAATTGTCCTTTTTAAAAACATAAGGACAAAAATGGCTTTCTTCTTCATTAGCTTGTTGACATACCTGGTGAACCTTTTGGTGTCGTTCGGGCGGCACTCCTTCGCGTAGTACTTCTGGTCATTCAATTTCCTGCACTTTTGTCTATTCTGTTCATTCTCAAAGAATATCATTTTTCTTTTCAAGCTAAAATTTTCTTCTTTGCTAGGGAAGTTGTAGGAGTCGTTTTTCCCCTTGATGCTAGCCTCAAATGTGTCCCGTTCTATTTTGTGCTGCACTTTGTGCATTTTCTTTTTTATATTTTTTAAATTCGAAATGGAGTTTTTTATAAAAAAATATTTACTATTACTTTGTGGTTGGTCTCCATTCGTTTGTTCATGTTGTTTGTCTAAGACAACTTTTGTGATTTCCTTTTCTGCGTTAGTGTTGTCCACCTGGTGGCTATTGTCTTTGTGTGGTTCATTATGTGTCTGCTTCCTGGGATTCTCTTCTAGCGCCTCTTTTTCAACATCACAGCGGCCTTTTTTCATCGAACATGCGTTGCTGTCATCATCGGTGCTGGTGTTGTCGTGGTGACATAGATTACCGATTTCTTGTTTGGCCTCATCCGTATGGTGGACATCCTCAAGTGCACTTTCGTTGTGACTGTCCCCATTAAACCAGACGGTTTCCGCTTTAGGTGTATACAAATTATGATTGCTTGTATCAAATGGATGGAGCTTCTCCTTCATGCAGACATCTTTCCGTTGTTGGTCCCCTTGTGGAATCTCCTCCCAGTTATTTTTGCAAAAGTCAAAGTAGTAATTTTCCGTTTTATTCATCACCTTGTGATGGAACAAATTGGCCTTGTCAACATTCGTGCCGATCTCCTTGCTGTTGTAACTAACGGAGCTCAATTCGTACACATTGCAAAAGTTTAACAGAAGATGAAAAAAAATTTCCCAAAATTCTATATACTTTTTTCTCTTGGATAGTAACCTGACGGAAAAGTTTTTTATTTTTCTTTCTTCTTCCTGTTCAATGTAGCAATTTTCGTTATTCTTTTTCATTTGGTCAATATACCTTTCGATTTTTTTTCTATCACGATCATCCATGGGGATATTTCCTGAGTAATCTATAAAGTAGGTGCTTTCTGGCGCCATGTTACTATTAGCGGATCCTTTGTTCCCCTTGTCTGATTCTTTTTGTTTGTTTCCTGCACAGTTAAGGCTTCGTTGGAGGAGTCCCACGGGATGCGGACCATTCTCTGTACTGTGCGAGCTCTTCCCCGTGGTCTTCCCTCCCTCGAGGCAAACACTTTCGCCGGTACACCCCTTCTCCTGCTTCCCTTCATCCTCCGTATAGGCGCGCTCCTTCACCTGTATAAAACTTTCGATCTCCTTACACCTACTTTGTTTCTTACCCTTAGGAGCCTCCTTCTTCTTTATCTTAACCTGGGTACTGCTATTATTCATAAAGTTCTTGTTGTGTGTCATGTAGGTCAAATTCAGGTTGTTAATGGTAGTGTAGTTTTGATCCATTATGCTCTCATCGTATTTATATTTTGTGCACCCCATATGCTTGTAGTATAATAAGCAGCTAGCCACTTGCGCGATGCCTATAAAGTCTATGTGGTAGGTAAAAATAGAATCTGAGAGGAAATTGTAGCAATCGCAGTTTTTTTCTCCATAGAACAGATAGTTCCTGAAATTCTTTGCATCAATTCCTCTACCAATGTCGATTAGGAATATGTTCAATGGAAATTTTTTTATCAGAAAGGAGTTCGGGTTCCTGGTGCCCTTCCCGTTCAGCATGTATTCAGACATGAAGGTGCTACTACCACCGAATGCGCTTCGAACGCCACTACTGCTACTTCTGCTACCGGCGGGAACACTGCGAGTACCACTACTGCTGCGGCTGCTATCGCTATTGCCTTCTGTGCGAGGCTTGCTCTTGCTCTTTGATTTGCCCTTCGTCTTCCCCATGCAACTGCTGGGTGCCTCCCTTGGGCTATTTCTCTTACTTTTCTGCATCTGGAGCAGAAGCTTCTCGTCCTTTGCAACTAATATGTTGTCTATTTTGACGTCTCCGTGGAGCACATCCAGTACGTGCAGCTGCAACAAAGCCACGATCAAGTGGTACACGATGAACAACACCAGCTCTTCGTTTATGGACTGGTGGCCCTTTCTGATGAACGTGTTTATGAGTTCATTGAGCGTGGTCACGTGTTTGTGCGTCCCCATGATCAGCAGGGATGTGCCGCCTTCAGAGCTGTGCTTTTCGCTTTGCCCCTCGCTTTTGCGTTCGCTATTTTGTTCTGCCTTTTCCTCGGCCTGGCCTTCGCACTTGTCCTCTTTTCTGCGTTCGCTATTTTGTTCTGCCTTTTCCTCCGTGTTATCCTTTTCTTCTGGTACCCCCTCGCACTTGTCTCCTTTTTTGTTTCCTTTGTTGCCTCTTCTTTTGGCTCCCTTTCGTTGCCCTTCCCCTTTGCGCGCACTTTTGTCCGAGCTGCCGTCCGCCGTATGAACCTTGTAGTGCAGCTCATCCGGGAACATGTACAAATTGCCCTTGACGAAAATTTCGAAGAATAGCTCGGCGCTACTACTTATGCCGCTTTCTTGGCGGCTATAGTCACTTCTGACCTCAGCTGTCTTCCCCCCCATACCGAGAGCTCTCTTACGCTGCTCAGAATACTTCCTATGCTTCAACATTTTTCTGGTCTTCAAAATGTAGGAGAAAAATATTTCTTTCTTCGCCAAGTATAACCTTTGCTGAACTTTACATGCATACAACGCGTTATTAATTGTACATTTGTATGTGGCACCATTTAATCCTTTGCCCTGTCTATTCAAAATTATCATTACTCTTTTGGAAGTCCTACCACCCATCAAAGACACCCTTGTATTCCTCCTAATATTTCCAATCATAAGTTCGTGGCTACTATACTTAAATATTTTGGTGTGTTCTATATCGTTGATATTTTCTTGTATGCTTGTGAAGTTTCTGTACCTTTCCCTTTGGGCTCTATTGAACGGGTTGGTTAGAAATATACCTCCGATTATGTAATAATTGAACAAATGTATTACTATTAATTTTAGTCTCTCTTCTGTGTCTTTCACAATGTCATATACTCTTTCGTTTATGTATACTTGTTGCGTGCATATGAATGGCATGTCGAATTGAGGCATGTCTTTGTCTATGCGAAGCTGTTCATCAAGACGTTTATAGGCCTGTTCATATGTTTTATCTTTTTTCCCGTGCATGCGTGACACGCTTTGCGATTCGTCCACATCCTTCCATAAGGGATTATCCTCATTCAAAACGAGGACATCAGAATTGTAATGGTGGTCACTCACATCGAGGTCACCACAAATGGGCTCATGCCCTTTCGACACATTCAAACCCCAGCTCGTTCGCCCACCAAATTCATATTTAAATGGACTGCATTCTTCTCCCCCTTCGCTTCCATTCAGTGACACATTAAAGATTAATTTTCTCGCACTGCCGTGTATTGTCGTATCATCAGCTGTTGGCGGCTTAGCTTTGCTCATTTGTGAGTTGTTCGCTGACCCGCCTTTATGCTCATCTAGGAAGTCCTCACCATTAGTGGCTATAGCGCGTTCCTCAGTTGCAATACCAGTGTTCCTTTTCCTGAACTGATTATTCGTAACTCTGTCTGTAGTGCTGCTTTTTTCCTTCCCCTGCACGAGCTTGTTTCGTTTCGAATTATCGTTCTTCATCGAATGATAACTGGATGAACGGTTCGACTTGCCTTTTTTCTTTGTAATAGTTTCCTCCTCAGTGTGTTCTAACCATTTCCTCTTATTGGTTTTACTACTGCCTGTTTTGGACGCCTGATCCGTTTCTTTCTTTTTGGATTTCTCCTCCTTTTTCTTTCCCTTTGTCTGTTCGTTCGATTTTTCTTTGCCCTTTATCGGTTCGTTCGACTTTTCATTACCCTTTGTCTGCACGTTCGACTTTTCATTACCCTTTATCGGTTCGTTCGATTTTTCTTTTCCCTTTGTCTGCACGTTCGATTTTTCATTACCCTTTATAGGTTCCTTCGATTTTTCCTTTCCCTTTGTGTGTATGTTCGATTTTTCTTTTCCCTTTTTCGTTGAGCTCGCCTTCTTCTTGGCCTTCGCCGCAGCCTTCCTCCGTTCCCTTTCTGCCTTTTGTTTCATTGTCTTGAACGGGTAATAATCATCCGACGAAGCGTCCATCGTGCTGGAGTTGTTTGAAAAGAACATTTTATATTTTCCCTCGGTTCTGCGATTGTTTTTTTTTCTTAACTGCAAAAGGGCCTGGCTTATATTCTGTGGTGAACATGCTCCTTCGGAGTCATCCCTCTGTTTTTCCTTTTCGAGCGATTCCTTTTCCAACTCTTCCCTTTCAGTGTGTCCCTCCGTTTTGGAGCCGTGTCTGGGGGAGTCATCGGCCTTTTCGCCATATGCAATTTTTTCAATTCCGTTTTGTATTTTCTCTGGAGAAGAGATTTCTCCCCTTTGAACCTCTTCATTTTCTGCGTATTTCTTCTTACTTTTTTCGAAGCTCTCTTGGGGTGACTGTTCTACACTGCTATGTGTTTTTCCCACGGATGGATCCAACTGGGTGTATACAATCTCATCCTCTTGCCGCTTAACTGTGTGGTCCACTTCCTTAGAGGGTATCCCTCCGTCTTCGCTACTTACTTCGTCCCTTCCTTCTTCACCCTCTTGGATTTCCTTGCTGTTTACCGTTTGGACTGAATTTATTTCAGATTTGCTTTTATCAAGTGTCCTTGCAGACAAAACTTCACACTTCATTTTTGCTTCACTCTGTATGGAGCCGTTCCTCGACAGGTAACACGACTCCGGAGTATCTCCGCCCTTTTCATGTTCATTCAAAATGGTCTGAACAGGACAGGTAATAGATTCATCCATCTTAGCAACCTCTTCATTGGGGCCGCTGCAATGGCTATCTTCATAATCGTCACTTCCGTTGTGGTTGCTCGGTGCATCAGCGTCAAATGAGTCGATGGCATGAATGTCACGCGTGTTGCTTTGGGCGAATTCATTCCCCTTTCGTAGATTACTCAACACGCAGTTCAATAATTTCCCGATGATGTGTTTTGCGCAACTTCTACTGTTTTTGTACGAGCTCACTTCTCCTTCTTCATCACTTTTTTTTTCTTTCCTAGCGTAGACATCATCATCACGGTAGTTGTATATGAGCCGGTTGTGCATCGAGTAGTTCACTGTGTTTATTTGTATATGAACAGGTCTATTTCGATGAGCGTTTTTGCCTCCTTTTTTTGTGTTGCTTCTGCATTTGGTTCTGTATAGAGGAGCATACCTCTTCATATATTCGATTTTATCAGGGTATACAAGGTTCGCTCGTTTTTTCATGCACGATATTGTACCGTTTTGTTGTGTCACCCGTTGACTACTATCTTTTACAGCCTCTGTGGGGCCCACTTTTGAAAGCGTCTTTTTATTGCATTTTTTTTTTTTTCTTAAAAGGACTTCAGAGTTATACTTGAGTTGTATGACAGACCCATTAATGTGAAGACGGACAAATTTCTTCACTTCTTGCTTGCTTTTTTGTTTCGCCCATTTTTTGTCGTAACTGTCTATTTGGAAGTATAACAGGTTGAGGACTTTTCTGTACCGTTTTCTTTCCGATACTTTGATTTTGCCTTCGAGTGGGGTGACTTCGTCAGGGTTTACTTCGTAAGGGTTTACTGCATTAGGGGTTTCCTCTGATGGCATCCCGTCTTGGGTGTGTTGCTCACCTTCGCTGGATCCCTTCCCCCGCCTGACAACATACTGCAGGACATTTCTATAAGTCCTCCTCATTCTATTCATAATGTATGCGGTTTTATTGCCCTGCCTTTGACCTTCACTATTTTTGTTTTTACTCTTAAAAAAGAGAAGATACACATTTAAAAAGTAATGGGACATGTGTTTGGGCAGATTGAAGTACAAATAAATGATAATCACTTTTGCGGCGCTGTACAAAGTGTAGAGGGCTACCTGAAGAACTGCGTCGATATTTTCGTTCAAATGAATGAGGCATTTTTTCACTAAGTACACTGCTAGAATAAGTTCATAAATGTAAGAAAAGTTTCTACGCGACATGCTGACATGTTTATAGCCACTACCAACTTGCGTGAATCTTTTAAATATTTTTTGGAACTTAATTAGATCCCCTTCGTATGCATTGAAAATGGTAGCATGCTCAAATTGGGCATTTAGATTACAGTCCTTAAAATTGGCATAGGAGCATATTTTCTTCATCATATAACTTCTAATATGTCTTTTAGCTGCCTCGTATATGCTCAATTTCGATTTGATAATGTCACCCCTGTTGAGGACTTCTACGTAGCTACTACTTATGGTGTGTTTTATGATGTAGTCCCCGTAAGAGCACACAAATTGGCATAGTTCGTTGCAGAAGAAGTGGTCCTTTGTGGGGAAGTCTACCACGGGGTTGTCTTTTATGGGTGACACTTCCTTCCACGTCTCGTTTGGTCCATTTTGGCTGATCTGATTGGGGAGATTTTCTTTTTTCTCCTGATCGACGGAGGGTACAGCCTTGTACCCATGTAAGTACACATGTGTAATCAAATTCAGCGGGTTCACAGAGACCCGCAAGTAGCTCATCAAAAGTTTTACAAAGCTCTCATTAATTTCTGTCATTTGTGTAATATTCTTCTTTATATAGTAAAGTAAATATTTTACACTGTCATACATGAACATTACCCGTGCGTAGGAATTCTTGGCTACATTTTCAATATCATTTTTAGTAAGTTTTTTTATAATGTAATGATTTTTCAGATCATCGTTGACTAGACTGTTTTTATATTCCAAAATGAACGAATGGAATTTGTGCCCAAAATGACTTACGTAAAAGTCTAAATATTCTTGTAACGTTGTTGAAATGTTGGATCCATTTTTTGTAATACATATCTTTTTAATTTCCTTGTCATATTTTCTTATCTGTATGAGGACACGAACAAATTCATCGATGCTCTTGAACAGAACGCTGCTTTTTTTCTCCTCGACGTTGCCATCTGCATGGTGTCTTTTTACAATGTAAATATTTTCAATGTGGTTCTTTATATAAAATTCTTGGATGTCCTTTTTGAACATTATTTATGCACACGGGGAGAAGGTGTAAACATGCATAAGGGGGATGGACCGGTGTGGAAACAGAACAGCTGGATAGTTGGAACGGTCACACTCTGGACCCTTGGAACAAAACTTCACAAACAAGTGAATGTTGCTGAAATTTTCGCGTAACTCAGACATGGAGCGGGTGAGGGATGTGTGTGCGTTTGTGTTTGTGTGTGTACTGAACACTCGTAAAAATTAAAAATGGCAAAAATAGGGATGCACGAAGGCGTTCGGCATGAATTACAAGGGTTTAAAAGGTGTAATGAGGAGGCGTGGAACATAAATGGGCAACATGCAAACCAATGACACGTAGAATACGCGCCTGGCCATACACCTCTGCGGGAAAAAATACTGAATTAATCGCGTACCCGTATTTTCAGGGCTATGCTCTTCGTTAGAATCAGCCAGGATTCCAAACGTTTACACAACTTAACAATGGAGTGATAATGCAGGAAGATATACACTCGGTGGACCTTTTAAGAAATTGACAATATTGTTCAGCATAGCGTTTTTGCATTCCCCGCTGGGAAAACGATGGATCATTTTAGCACATAATATATACATACATGCATACATATATATTTTTTTGTCACTCATATATTGTTGAAGGTGAATTTAAAAAATGGTGAATATTTCTCTTTGACGTTATTTAAAAATGGCGAAATGGGAAAAATACATCACAAAATGGAGTGGAAACACAAGGAAATGCAAGGAAATTAAAATTGGTGTGATGCGCGAACGGGAGGAAATTACACTTGATTTGGTGCGCACGAACGGGACTAAATTGCGTGTGACGAACTTGGTGGTCAAAGCGCTCGTAGATTGAAGGAAAGGAAAACTATTGCCAAAAGGCGTACATGGGAAAAAAAAAAAAAAAAAAAAAAAAAAAAAAACGTACACAATGATAGAGAATAGTACATGGCTAACAGTTGGCACATAAAATGACGTGCCCTTCCTCCACAACGATTTACGCATCAATATTTCATTAACGCAGATTACTTGTTGCCAATTCCCTCACACATTTTACGTAAGACAATTATGCGCAGTGGTGACAAAGCATGTTAGTCACTAAATGGGAGAGTACTGCCTTTTGCGCAGTCGGCGTCGCTACATAAATGACGCCACGGTGGGTGTCTTTGCTCATATTTGTAGTTGTGCTTGCAATTATGTTTTCTTTAAGGAGGTTAGCCCTTTGGGGGAGTTGCAAGAAAAAAAAAAAAAAAGGAAATACAAAACATTCAAACTGAGCGATTGCGTCAGTTGCGCATACCAGCTTTGCGAAAAGTTTTATTCGACCACGTTTCCGTTCGTTATACGTGGAAAAATATCACAGAATGACATTCTTTTCTACGATTCCAGTCGCTTCGATGTTTTGCACATTTCAATCTTTATGTGTGTTCACCCACAACGACATTCCGACATAAATTCTTTTTAGCATTATCAAAGCATTAAGAAAAAATGGTTATCGTTAAAGCAGCAACATAAAAAAAAACATTCCGCAGAGGGAAAAAAAAAAAAAAAAAAGGCTACATGAAATGAATTAAAAATAAAACTAAAAAAAAAGGGACAGCATACAACATAGGAGTAACTATATGCTATGATGTAATGTACTGTACTGTATCATTATAGTGATGGCACTAAGCAGTGTACCACACCTTTTTACAATTTCCTGATAATGGTATTCATTTTGTGTACACGGGCGTAGTTCCACCGTTTGTCGCACGTCAGCTACAGCTGGCTGTGTATGTTCGTCTCACAAATGTTTTTTCTCCCAGTTGCTAAAAAAAAGAAAATAGTAACGTACGCACCGTGTGAATGAGAGCAATTTGGTGTTTTTTCAAAAATATGGGGATAAGACTGTAAGATATGCCCCATCCCCATTCTACAAATGGTGTTTCTCTCTGCTACGCAAAGGGGCCGTTCTCTCTCAAATTGTATTTATTTATTTTTTTTTTTAAATCACTATTTTGGATAACCACATGAAGGGAACTAGCTGGTATGCATTTCAGTCGCGTACACATATATAAATGCACATGGGTACACTCTTATGAGGAGCATTTTAGCACCCGTTCTCCTTCTCCAACATGAATTATATGCGAATGTACATCGCAGTCTCATTTTATGTCATTACGAATAAAATGGATCGTAGTTAAATTTATCGACGCCAAGAAACATCAAGTCGATTATTAGCAGCATAGATGCACATATGCTTCCAAATATCCTGAGCGGAGGACAGAAAAAAAATAATAATAATAAATAAAATAAAAGAATTGCGAGGCTTTTTCTTGTTTTTTCACTCTTTCGGTTAATGATTAAAATGTGTGTTTTACCACATATATCTCTGAGAGTATACTGCAGCGAATGAGCAAAATATTAGCACAACAGTGATTCCAAAAAGAAAGCCTAAAAAAAAGGGCAGTGAGGAGGGCGGGGGGAATTAAAGCGGCAAATGCTTATATATATATTATGTGTGATTCCCCATTTGTGCGTTTTTTTAAAGGGCAACATTATTATGCAAGTGATGCGGTACGCGCAGTGGGTACTCATCGTTTATGTTTACTTCTCCTGGATTTGTCGCTCATTTTGGGAATTTCTTCAATTTACAAAACATGAGACTACCGATTGGCGTTTTCCTGTTGCTATTTACTCCTCAGTTTGGATGAAAAGAGCTATATGGTTACTATCTTACGGTTAAGTATTGTAATATGTACTGCTCGCGCAACAAAAATGTACTTGTGGCGAAATGGCGAAAAGGATGCATTCAAAATGAACACTTAAACAAAAAGGAAAAAAATAAAAAAACAAAAAAATTTGGAAATTATAAATTCGTTTCGTAGTTACTAGCGATTATTATTTGATTACTTGATTTTTTTTTTTTTTTTTTTTTTTTTTTTTTTTTTTTTTTTTTTTTTTTTTTTTTTTTGTCATTTGTTTTTAAAAAAAAAAAAAAAAAGCTGTTTCATGCATGCACAATGTTATGGCCAACTTATTTGTGGTGATTCTTCTCGTTCTTAAAAACTTGTATGATATAATTATCAGATTTTTCAAATTTGTTATCCTTTACTATTTTTACTAAGTGATTGTTTATCTGAAAAAAAATAAAAAATAAAAAATGGGAGGGGTGGGCGCACGTGGAAATGAGCAAATGTGGATACGTGTGTACAGGTGTGGGTCGATAGTTCCACATATGCGCGTATTCACCAATATTATCTTTGTAGTTGCTGGAAAAAGGCGTGAGAATGTAACGTGGCACAAACGGCAGTTGAAGAAAAGCACCAGGGCGTACACAAACTTGTGCACATATAAAGGGGCGTAAGCAATAACATATTAAATCGTGTTCGAAGATGAGTAGCTAACAAATAAAGTCACATCAATTTTCAACAGAATAAGACAAAAGGGGAAGTTTATGCGTTGCCCTGCCTTTTTGCTAAACGTTTACCCCATTTGTGTTCATAAACAAGGTTGTTGTGATCCCCCTCGTGTGCATAAATATAATTGTAAAAAGAGAAGGGAACGCGTTGAAAGTTTGTGACAGCGCAGAGCTACCTATGGATCTACGAATCATTAAGCTCTCAAACATGGTCATTATATGTACCACGCGCACGCGTAACTGCGATGGGTAGAGGCATTTGTCTGCATGCCACTTCGCTCCCTTATATTGCGTACGTCTTCATTTGTGGGTAACAACACGGGTTTACTCAAAGAGGAATCCAACTGGAACCACATCCCTGTCGTGGGGAAGAAATTGTGTGGGGGGAAGGCAGAAATGTAACTGCGCCAATTGTTCGCATTCAGCCAAAAGGCACACATATGCGTATACTCATGTGGATACGCATTTGCACGTAAGGTGCCACGTCGCACATTGCGCTCCTTCACTTATGAAACAGAAGGAATACCTGAAATTTTCCTTATCGTGTAAAAATGCCGGTGGTGGTAGAAATCGAAAAGGTTGACCCGAACGATATTCACGACGAATGCGATTAACGTTTTGTCATTTAACTGATTGTTATCGAACAGTGTAGCACAGGTACTGTCTTTGCTGTTTTTTATTTTGCGCAATATTTCCTTGTTGTCAACCCAGCGCAGCTCAATATTGTGCTTGTTCATGAAGAAGTACAAAATGTTGATGTTGAAATTTCCAAAGTAGTGAAAGCCTCTTTTAATGTACGTGAGGACGCTATTGCATTTTAAATGTTCCTTCCCTCTGACATCAGCGAGATGCCTATTGCCACGGTTGCCATCTCCATCGGAGGTGTAACAATTTCCATTATTCTGATCAGCGTGTCCATCCCCTGCATCATTTCCCTGATCATTGCTTAACGTGCCTAGCCCGACAGCGGCATTATCGAGCATACATTCGGCGTCTTTAAAATCGTCGGGGGAATATACATGTGCCTGTAAAATATTGTTCGCAGTGTGAAGCAAGCAATATAATTTGGTTTGCTGTTCAAAGTAAACGCTTATTAAACCTCTTTCCGTTTCAATTGCGTGTGTTTTATAGTGGCACATTTTGGGAGGCACGGATTCTTCAAGTGCGAATTGGACTTTGTTGTTTCGAAAAGGGGAGATAAAATTGGCATCTTCTTATGCGTCATCGATGGGTATTAAATGTGAGCACATAAGAAATTTTTTTTTTTTTTTTTAAATCATGAAAAAGTGCTGAATATAGCCTCAATAAAAGTTTCATCATAAATAAATGGTTACCCCTAAATGTAGTGCAAAGAGGTAACAGCCTGACGGTATATGTGCACCTTTGCCTCTGCAATACAGTTAATGTGTTCCTTTTTCCCATTTTTTTTTTCTCCAAATTGTGGAGGAACGGGAATTTTCCGTCCAACCAGGTATATACAGAGTGTATATAAAAGTGTGATGAATCGGACGCACGATTTTTCCATGGTAGTGAAATGGCCCATCACAACATGGCAGAAACAACACGCAGAGATCTCCACAAAGATGTTGCACGTGGGCACATATTTGCCAATCGTTACGCACACCTGCGTAGATCAACGCTTGGGCCCTGCGAAAAAAGTAACATCTGAGGAGTGCCACTCCGTTACTAGGTCCGGGCAGAAACCACGTGCACACAAAAAAAAAAAAAAAAAAA